ACCTTTCGAAGATTCTCTGACTTCTAAAAAGAAAGCAATAAGCAATATGGCGACATAAACTTAATGAGAAGACCTAATTCTCTCAATTTAAAATAGAGCGGAATAGCGTTATTAAGTCAAAATTAATACCACATAATATCAAATTGATCATCATTTCATGTCAAATTTTTTTTTTGGTGTAAATGCAAAAGTATACATTATATGGAAAAACCACCGCAGCCATCAATCATGAATACTAAAAATATATGCCTGGCAGCAGCTAAGCGGCTTTGTTATGCAAATTTCCCAACTCTCTGTGGGGAAAATTGGAGTGTCAAGGGTTCGGGTCAGGGGTCAGGCTGCAATAAAAATTCACAAGTCAAAAGTCTGCAATTGGCAAACATTTCGAAAGCCACTTTGCAGTACGGATTAAATATCAGAGTGGCACAATGAGCAAAGTTATTGCAAAATATTTGTATGCAAGCACAAACATCTAGCTTTCAATTAAATGCATATAAATACGAAACGAACGCTTTAGTTTTGTTTTACTTGTGTCCCAGTAGTTATTTACAATTAAACTGGCCATGCATATTTCTAATTTATTTTTGCCAGCCATCCAGAATTGCTAAAATTGTGTGAATCAAAGTATTGTGTACATTTTGTTCGTTCGATGTGATTGCAGAAAATGAAAAATAATTTCGCAAAAACATAGAAAACTAAAACTGAACAATTGGTTGAAATTCTACTACTCTGACCCCCATCGATATCTCGATGGCGTGTGCAAATTGAAACTAATTAAAGCCGAGTAATGAATTTATATCCATCGCTCGGTCGGAGAGCTCTGCAATTGTTGAATGTGGTTTGGGAAGGTCCGGGATGGTTTTCAGTTGGTTTTCGGGAAAGCGGGAAAGCCTCCGAGCAGACAGATGGACAGACAGTCAGACAATCGCATTTCCAGTTGTTAAAGCGGTTTCGATTTCAATCGATTCGGGTCTTTGATTAATTGCATTGCAATTTGCAATTACAGTAAATTTAATAATTGCCACTCAATGCAATTCAGCATCAATTCGATGGGAACTCTATTACGCGCGGCGAAATGAACTTATTAAAATCGCCGAACAAAAGGAATACCTATGCGCTCTTCCATGTCGTGTTAAGTGCAGTTAATATGCATTAATTATCTGCTGGCAACAAAGATGCAAAATAAACGTAAATCAATTGAAAAATGCAGAGATCGGATGGTAAATAAAATATATAAAGAGTTGGTGATTGTTGAGCTCATTATTTGTGAAGTGGAATTTATTGCCGCGGACTTTCATAAAGCCTTTTAGTGGCTTTAGCATTGAAAAGATGAAAAGTGTTGATATAATGCTTTCGAAAGTTGGGTAAGTTATAGGCCCGCTATCACACAGTTTAATCTTGATACGATAAGAAAGAGAATATAAATTAAATTGTGAAATAGTGGTCTTAGTATTAAATATGAATTGGGCAAATATTTCGTGCACTTTCAGATTAAACTTTAGGTGAACCATTTTTTTTATATCGGAACCAGAATGGAAACGTGAAAATTATGCACAAAATTAAAAGATATTATCAAGCAAGTACCAAAGTTTACCTAATATATTTGCTATTGATAATAATGGGTGATATCTATAAAATGTTTACCAGCACCATTCAAGTTACTTTGTATGTGTACATAGCCTACTTGTGTTGAACTTACTCATCGCACATTATCGGCAATATCGCAAGTAAATAAATTCACACGATTCGCCGACACAGAAAGAGATAGAGTGATATAGATATAGGGAGTTTAGTTATAACTCTCAATGGAGCAAATACAAGTGGGCGGCATTTCGAAATACCTACTCCAAAAAGCGGGGCAGGGTCAGGGGTATGTTACACGACAATAGCAAATATGACTGAATAAAACTCACCTCGCTGCAGATTGTGTGTTTAATTTAAACGATGAGTTGCCAGCAGCAGAAACAGAAACATTGACCTCGGAACACTTTTCGACATTCGCCTTCGATGATGATTAAATACTCGTACGTTTTTCGATTACACGCGTTAATTTCACGGGAAATTTGGGTTTATTTTTTTTGTTACAGATTTACGGTTAAAAGAACGATAGGTTTTAAGAGTATTTAAAATAGAATGCACTGATCATTGGGTAGTTTTAACTTGTTTGTTGAGTTAATGTTATTGCTGTATTTGGATTAAAACTGTGCTGTTTTAATTGTTATAAAATAAAATTTACTACAAATCTGGGAAGATTTTTAAACTTTATAAAATTTGAATAAATTTTTAAATTTCCCTAAAATATTTTCATATTTTATTTTCTTGGGTTTCTTTTTTAGATGCACTTCTAGAACACTTGACTGAATTTACTGCGATTATTTTATAGTCTTTTCTGTACTTTAATTTCTGATAAATATTTACGATCGATTCTTGATCTGAATTCCGAATTTAATACCTTTTTGGGGGAACGACCTAAACAGCTGAACTCGCCGAAGGTGTAATAACATTTGAACGACCTACAAATACAGGCGGAATAAAAATGATTTAATTTAATGGGTTAGTCGCAGCGACTAAATGAAAAGCACCGAGATTGAGGTGTAAAATGAGGTAATTCCGAATTTAAAAGCCAGAGCTCAGGTAAAACATAAAAAAAGAAAAACAAAACAAAACAGGTTTTTTCCTGATGATAACATGATGGAACCAAAAAATAAGAGAGAAAAGGAAAAAGAGAGAAAAACCGGAAAGCTAGGGAAAAAAACAAAAAGCTAGTCCAGAAAGCGAAAAGCAGCCACTAACTGTATTCCTACAAAGCATATTTAAAGAAACCAACCCGAGCACATGTGGTTTATAAGGCGACAAACAAACATACGGACACATGCATCATCTGTTTGTAAAATATTCAATGGAATCCAGTCACGACCCGCCGACGCAAAGACAATTTGCAAAGTCAGTCTCGCAATCGCAAAGGCAAAACGGAAAAAGCAACGGGGAACCGCACAACAACAACAGAAAAAAACCATGTCCAAAAAACCAATCAAAAATAGTTGCACAAATTAATTTTAAACCGTTATGCGAAACGAAAATAAAACACGAAATGTAGGCATTATTGATATTTTTAAATTTTTGGCGTCACTGACACAATTCGCGCTCTCTCGCTCTCTTTTATTTGCCTTTTCTTTTGTTGCTTTGCATGTGTGTTTCCCTTTTTTTTATTGTTGTGTCTTGTTTGTTGCTTCTTTTCCGTGTCTCCTCTCTTTACGAATGAGAAACAATTACAAAATTCTCTGAATATTTCTTTTTTTATTGTCTGTGGAGAGCAAAGAAAAACAACAACAAAAGCCAACGCGCCTACACACACAGACACACACAAGCAAACACAATCTGACACACGCACACATACACTCGCACAGTTCAAATTAGTTGAGGCAACAACAATAAGCGATGACTATTGTTATTCAAACACGGGTGTTTCTTTCTATTCCTGCAAAAGCCACGCGACAATTGTTGTGCTGCGACTGCATTCAAAAGAATAAACCTTTAAAATCACTAGAAAACATTCAAATCAGCACAGTTTCGCGAAGCAAAGGCAATTACAAAACCAAACACTTGAGGGCGCCGCGACGCGTGCAAAAGAGACGGCAGACTAAAGACAAAGACAGCTGAGAATACGTGGAAGCGGCGATTTTCGATTTGTTTTGCTTTTGGTTTTGCCTTTGATCGTAGTTTAAAATCCTTATTTCATGAGAACTTTTAGCACACGGAATGTATGTCTAAAAATATATTAATAACAATAGTTGTTTTTCGAACGCAATTAGTAGCAAAAATCTCGTGTTATCTTTCCCGGCGATTTATCGAGTCCACCGATTTTTTTCTTGTCACATTGAATTTTTGTTACTTTTTTTTACATAAACTGGACTTGTATTTTACCAATGTTTTTCGTCTTTATATTTTTGAATGGCTAACGAAAAACAGCGCTCTTCCAAATTTAATTGAAATGCGCGCCTCCGATGCAAAAAATAGAATGAACCCGACGCAGTACTGAAATGAAAACAAACGGCGATAGTGTGTCCAAACTTGGGACTAGGTAAAAAAACCGGATGTCCGCTGTATGGTTTCTTAACAGGGCTCTGTAAAGCGGAAGGTTTTGGTATTGAGATAAGGTTACACTCTTTTAACCGATTATAGCCCTATGACACTACGTACTATTAACGCCTTTGTAATTATCATATTAAAATTTAATTTAATAATTAAATATTAGCTAGATATTTACAGCTCGTTTCTGAGCAACTCTAAGAAAATAACAACAGAAGCTGTGGTTTATATACCATTCATTTCTTATTGAATGGTTTTTATTTCTGTCTTTATCGCACAAACGTAAATTATATCATTTGTTACAAAAATTAAATAGATGAAAGCAACAATGCAGTGTCATAAAGCTATGCAGGAGATAACCGTTAACCGGTTCAATAAAGGTGGCAACATTGCTATCGGTTAAAGTGGCAACTACGAATGATAGCCGCCAAAACTTATAATTTTTGAAAAACAACTATTACTTTTAGATATGAATCATTTAATTTATTATGAAAATGAAAGAAGCTTAGTGTATTTATTCACAACCCTTTGTTTTAACTATTTGTAAACTGCTAGTTTTCTAAATATTTTCTTGATTTGGCTCTTTAAAAACTTTTAAAAAAGGCTATATAGCGTAGCTATTTTTACTTATTTAGCAGAAATAATTAGTTCTTAATTTTCTTAATAATTAGTTCTTAATTATATATGGAAGGCTATGTATAGCCAAGTTTACCATATTTTAATGTAAAAGGACTAAAATCACGGAATTCCTCTTAAGTATTCTTATAATGAAATTTTAAAATAAATCAATAACTCAAAGAAAATAAATTGTAATTAATACAATTTTCCCGCCAACTTTAAAGTGTGACCAGTCGAAGGTGCCGACAGTTCAAAGCGTGGTGGCATTTTAAGGGTAAAACCCGTGAGGGCACTCTGCAACTCAGCTGATCGATCAAACAAAAAATATTGATACACAGGAATTGAGGAAAAAAATGCTGTACATTTAGAAAGTGAAAGTACTTAGAAGCTCTCACGAAATGGACAAGAATCTGGATGAGGTGGGTATACATAGAGATTATCTTTAATCCCCTTGGATGGCTGATTGTTGTGTTTTAATCTGCTCGTTTCTAACACGCCCAATTTTTTCACCGCCCAGGTCAAAGGCACCGTGCAAAAGAAGTTCAATGAAATCCGTGCGGCGTTGCATATGCGGGAAAAGCTGCTCCTCCGGCAACTGGAGGTCATAGCGAATACCCGGCAGCAGCAGCAGTTGCTGAAGAAGTCCACCTGCGAAGTGGAGAGCCCCGAACAAAGTGGCGTGCGTTTTGTGCCCGGCGAAGGCGACGATGCGGAGGAGAAGCTACTGACCGCCATCCGGAGCTTCGGTCACTTCCTGCTGGACAACAGTGACATGCAGCTGGCGCTGCAGGATTACCGCACCACGGGCCTGAGGAACGAGGACTACATAGAGCCATTGGATGACCACGAGACCATGTACAAGTGCCTGCAGGATGGGCAAGTATCGTATCTCAATCTGGATGAAGAAGACGCCCCACCGGAGGCCATTGTGGTGGACTTTTCCCGCAATAGATCTCTGGTAGAAGACAATGCCAAGCGCTCGATTATCAACATCACCTTGCAAGAGGCCAAGGATCTGATAAAGAAGGCCAAGATCAAGCGGGAAACCTATGTGCCTCCGCTGAACCTCGAGGAACTGGACGACGAGCTGGAGTCTTCGATAGCCGAGGCCGTTTCCAGTTTGGGACGAGAAACCTCCGCAAAATCAAAGAGCAGCATTCAAGAACCACCGAAAACCAAAGGCCGCAAGCAGCGCTTCAAGCCAAAGATCACCATCAACAATTGCAATGGCACCATCAATCTGCGCAACATTGCCAGCCTGACCATCAATTGTGCCAGCGAGGAGGCGGTCAGTGCGGAGATTCCGTTGGCCAAGTCCGCTGATTCCAGCACCACCACCGAACCCTCGACGACCACCGCTTCCAGTTCGAACTACTCCAGCAATGCCAGCTCCCGTTCGCAGTCCAAAAAGCAGAAGGCAGCCAAGAAGCAGGAGAAGATTGACTCCGATTCCACGCCCACTCCTGGACAGAGTCAACGGCACGAGGAAACGGAGATCCACGACGTGACCTGCGACTTCTACAATCGCCTGCTCAACGAAATCAAGAAGAGCATGGTGGAGAAGCCGCGCAGGACATACCAGCAGGTGGCAGAGCCTGTTCAAGCTGCCGCAGCCGATTCCAGTTGCGATGCCAATTCGAATCCCAGGCAGGAGCCAGTTTTAACCACCACCAACACATCGGTTACGCAGAGCGAATCGGGACCACAACTGCAGCCGGGCAAGCGATTGATCCTCAAGAACTTTGAGAACCTCAAGATCATCCTGGAGGCAAACAGCGGCGATGAGGACTCATTCCATCCCGTCCAGATCGAACAGTGGCTGGCGGAGATTATCTCGGAGACGGATTTGGAGCCCATGCAGAACACGGATATCCTGGAGCACAGTCGCATTCACAGCAGCGAGACCCCCTAAAGATATTCCATCCTATTTATCCTTAATGCACTCAGTATTCTCTCTTCCTTAATTTGTTTTTAGTTTACATTTTAATCTTGGCTAGTTTTGATTTCTTAAAAGACATGTTTTTATATATTTATACAAACTAAGATTGGCGGAACTGGAGTTAAAGAAATTTTATATTGATCAAATGAAAAAATGTATTGATTTACATTGATTGAAAATGTTTAAGCAAAAAAGTTGTGAAAATTGTGCATGTGCAAACATAACTTTTTTAATCCCAATCCTTTTCCGCCAAGTTTTTAACTGAAAACAAAAACCTACCCTATTATTTTTATGTACTTAATGCATTTCATTTTGTGATTTTTATCCTTTCGTAAGACTTGAACTCGTACCAATTTAGCCAGTAAGCTCCAGGCAGTGTTCAGTGCTCACCGCAGCCCATTTGTAAATGCAATCAAAGAGTCCACATTAAAGTGTTAATTGCCATCACAAAATAAAAACAGCTTTCACTTGGGATGGCTTGTCAGTGGATCTACCGGTTCGACCGCTCGAATTTCGCCATGCAATTGAAATTCGGTTTGTACTGTGGCCCATTAGAATTCCAAATCCGGACGATTGATAAGACCATTAAAATATACATTCTAGTTTGTGTATGTATATTTGCGCGAATGAAGCGAGGCACTCTAAAAGCACTTGTAATGGTGATTGACGATTAGAGTGGACCTCTGGGCTAACTTGAAGGTGATTCATTTTATAGTAAAAACATTGATTATGAGTAAGTAGCTGATTTGTAAGTAAAGGCCTTAGTCTTATTTGAAAAGCTTAAACCATTAAAGGTTTTGGTCCCTAAATTTAAGTAAAAGTTCGTCTGTTTCGCGTACAAAAATGTATTACTTTAAAGTTTACACTCGTGTCTCTAATAGAGCCCTGCGTGAATCATTCTATTTTTGTTTTATCATAGTAGGTATGCCATGAAATTTCTGATTTGTTTAATTCAATTCTATGTGAAATTAATTGAATGTTTTTCTAATTCATTTCGAATTGAATTTTTTTGAATTTGCCAGATCTTTTTATAATTTCTTTTGAGAACAAAAAGCGAAAAATTTTTAACAAATCAATGTTAATTGCTTAAAAAATAAAATTCATGCAGATTTAATCACAAAATTATGGCCCTTTCTTCTTTAAAAGAAATTGTCGTTTGAATTATTTTGGAATTCATGCCATTCATTCATTCAATTCTATTAATCTCAAAATTCAAATTCATTCAATTCTATTAAACTCAAAATTCAAATTCATTCAATTCTATTAAACTCAAAATTCTAATCAATTCATTCATATAAAACAAAAAATTCAAAAAAAATTCATTGAATCCATTCATGCAGGGCTCTATAAATGTTTAAAAACTCATTCAAAACATATTTTAAATTATTGCACTATTAAATCTTCTATAAGCAATATAATTACCAAAATGTATATCTAAGAAGTCCACTCTAATCTACTTAAAAATGGTTTGAAGAAATCGAAGGTCCCACATTTGAGGTAGACAATTACTTGACCCTTCCGATAATGTCCAGCAGGAAGGGCGTGTAGTAGGTGATGATGCAATCCGCTCCAGCTCGTCGGAAGCCCTTCATGGCCTCCAGGACGGCCTCCTTGAGGTCGAAGGCTCCCGCCTGGGCAGCATGATACAGCATGGCGTACTCCCCGGACACCTGGTAAACGTACAGAGTGTGATACGGGTAGGAATCCTTGGTGGATCGCAGGATGTCCAGATAGGGCATGCCCGGCTTGACCATCAGCATGTCGGCTCCCTCGGCGACATCTCGCTGGATGGCTCTCATGGCCAAACTGCGGGATCCACTGGGCAGTTGATAGCACCTACGGTCGCCGAATTTCGGAGCGGATTGGGCTGCCTCCCGGAAGGGTCCGTAGAAATTGGAGGTAAATTTGGCCGAGTAGGCCAACAGGGAAACACTGTTCATTTCGGCATCGATGAGGGCCTGCTTAATGGCCTTCACCCGGTTGTCCATCATGTCCGAGGGCGCCACAATATGAGCACCCGCCTTGGCATAAGCCACCGCAATCTCGGCTATCCTCTTAATGCTCGGACCATTCTCCAGACCCGTCTCCCCGAGGAGACCGCAGTGGCCGTGCGAGGAGTACGGGCAAATGCAGACATCGCAGGCGATGAGGAGATCGGGAAACCATTCCCGAAGCTTCGGGAGAGCCAGAACCACTGGATTCTTGCCGGAATCCGCATTGGAAGCCTGCTCGTCCTTCAGTTCCGGCTCCACGACGCCAAAGAGAAGAACCGAGGACAATCCCTTGGCCACCAGTGGCTGCAGGTGCTCCCGCAGGCGGTTCAATCCGAATCTCGAGATTCCCGGCATGCTGGCTATCGGCTGGACATCCTCGTCGTTGCTCACAATGAACACCGGGTACATCAGATTGTGCGGCGCTATCTCACAGCCCGATTCCTGCAGCAGGCGCAGGGTGGCGTGGTGCATCCCACTGTGCAGTTTCCGCTCCATGGTGTCCGGTCAGCTCTGGATGAAAATCGAAAATCGAAACCAACGTAACAAGTGAAACTAACGTCCAAGTGCTCGTTGGGGTGGCATATTTAGTACCTCCATCTATTGTACCTTTTCCAACACTTTCATGGTGGGTACAAGATAGGGTGGTTCTCTGAAAATGTAATATAAAAAAATTCAAAAATATTTAGTCTTCAATTTGACGTGTTATTTAAAGATAAGAATACGCTGCGTATGAGTAATAAACATTATCTTACATTCATATACAGTTTAAATTCCATGTTAACATAAGAATACACTGCGTATGAGTAATATACATTATCTTACATTCATAAAAAGTTTAAATTCCAATACTTGTATTTATAAAAATATTTGCATTAAATTTAAAACGATAAATTATTTAAATAATGAAGATATATTCAAAATGCAATTATAAATCTTAAATTCATATAAAGTTTAAATTCCAATATTTGTATTTATAATAACGTTAGCATTAAATTTAGAACGATAAATTATTGAAATAATAAAAATATATTCAAAATGGATTTTAAAGGTTTATTAAATGAGAGGTTGTACATAAGTGCACATATAAAATTTAACCATCGATTAAGTTAACTAATGTAATGACAATTAAGGATCCTTTAGTGAAAAAAATATTTTTTTTGTCAGCTAAAGCAGCATTTTAAAAGAATTTTTTTTAATATTAAAAATTAGTTTTAATTTTCAAAAATATTTGAATTTTTAATACCTCAAAATAGGGAACTATTTTCCACAAATAAAAAATACAAGGAAAGAGATTTTAAAACTTATTTTTATGCAGTTATTATTAATTTTGCTTGGGGAAAAACTTTTTTTGTTTTAAGCCCCAGGAAAAAAATTTAAAATTTGACTTTCACAAAATTTTTGAACTTTTCATAGGGTTAAGAACATTTTTGTGTCATTTTAACGGAATTGAAGTGCTCTTTCTATAGGTGCCAAAAGTTTATATTATAAGTTCAAAATTTGAGTAGATTTAACTTTCAAATCTGTTAAAATAATTTTGCCGAGCAGTGTATTTCTGCATAAGACTTTTTATTAACTTTGTAGTTTTATAGTTAAAAATGTTTAAAATATATATTTAACATTAAGCAATTAGTTTCAATTTTCAAAAGTATTTGCATTTAAAATACCTGCCAAATAAAACAAAGCCTTTGTATTTCTGCATAAGACTATTTATTAACTTGGTAGTTTTATAGTTTAAAATGTTTGGTATAATCGTTATTACAGCAATAAAAGTTGGTGTTTTCTGCTACGCTTCCTCACACCCTCATCAGCACATTCTCGATTGGGCCCTTTCCGCCTCAATTTGCCTTTTAATGGATAACTAAACATATGCTCTACATATATAGATTTACACGTTATACGAAATATTACAAATAGTTGGCCAACCTGCTATGCTTAGGCGTAATTCAAATAAACACGAATACATAAGTTATTTAGCCTGTCCCCTTGTTAAAGGGTTGTACTTTTGACTTAGTTTTAGCATCGAAATCAGAGGACGAGAAACGGAACTAAAGCCTAACTTAAGCGTAAACGAATTGGGTTCAGTATTTGGTTTGGTTTTCAATTAAGTAAGTAACAGCCATTGGAAGTGCGTGTTTTCTTTTGTTTTTGGGTCTTGTTGCGATGGTTTCGATGATGGGCGATTAGCTTGTGCGTTTGCTGGACTAAGAAACCAGTGTGTGATGATAGTGCACACGCTTCTTTCGACGCCTGGGTCGTGGTTTTAACTCCTGCTCCTTGACTCCTGCTGCTGCTGCTCCGTGGAGCGTGACTGTGTAGGAGTGCAACTGGAGCATCTCCCCGACGGTTTGTGATTCCTGACTTGTGCTGTGTGATGCTGGTGTGTGAACGGCGGCTAATGCTAATGCTGCTGCTGAGGGATCTCCCTGAGCTTGTCAGGCGAAGGTCACTTGATAGAAGAGCCACTCTTCCATGAACGACGGCACAAACGCCTTGGTGGTGGTGAACTTCACCTTGGGACGCAGCAAATCCAGCTGCTCCTCGAAGAGACGCAGCTGCACCTTGCAGGTGGACCCATTGCCATGGGTCAAATACTTTCCATCGGGTTTCAGCACATTAAATGAGTGCTCGAAGATGGTGCGGATAAAGTCCCAGGTCTCGCCCTCCGGGGCATCGGTAATGGGTATATCCGTGAGATCCCCAAACACGTAGTCAAACTTGCGGCCCTCGGCGATGAACTTCTTCAAGTACTCCACACAGTCGCCCACAATTATCTCGTACTGGTCGGTCTTGCGCTTCTCCAACACATCGCCACAGATCACGCTGAGGTATTTGTTGCAAGTCTGCATCACCAGCTCATCGATCTCCAGCATCACCACGTGCTTCGGATTCTCCTTGAGCAGCTCGTACAGCAGGGCGCCATCGCCGCCGCCCAGGATGCAGATCTCCTTGCCCTCGTAGTTCTCCACGCCGCGACACATCAGGGTCTCCGTGTAGATCAAATCGGATTCAGCAATATCTTAAGAGAAAGCAAAAATATATATTTTAATAAACAAACTTTTAATAAAAGAAACATAAATATTGGTAATTTTTTTGAGTATACAAAAGTATTATCCACATTTTATACTTGTATTTTTATTACAGACGACAATTTATATTTTTAATAATTGGGGAAAAAAGTAAGTATTGGTAATTTTAAGAAATTAAGATTCATAACTCAAAACCTACATTTTAAAAATGTTATAGTAATTTTATTACAGACAAAAATTGCATTACCATGTTTGGATTTTTATACCAAATTATAAACAAAAATAATACTTTTAATATTATTATTTAGAATATGTACGCCTTTTTAAAATAAAAAAATTCAATTTAACCGTTCGTGATATTGAATATATATTATGTGACAGTTGGGAAACATACGTGATATTAAATATTCATATTTTCAGTACCCTGTTTGAGTTTAGAGATTAAGGTTTTAACAACAAATATTACTTCATTCACATTTAAGATGACCTGCCTTTAGGCAACTGCACGTGACCTTTACTGCGGCACCTCCAATCGATTGGGTTGGTTGGTGACCCTGACACCGTTCGCGCATCCATGTATAAATATATCCCCATAGCCATACTTACTCTGCAGCTCGTCCAGCAGCAGCATGTTGCCCAGCGTCTTCGAGTGCATGATTTGAATCTTCTGGAAGGGCGAGCGCGCCTCGAACACCACCTTGTCGATGTCGTACTCGATGATTCGCTCATCTGCGGAAGAGTGCATGAGATTAGTGATGCCTCAGTAACCAAATTATATACGATATTGATTACTAGTACTGATTTCGGCTCAATTGTTAGGCGGCGCATGCAGAGAAACAAGTTTAGAGAAACGAATTTAGAGAACGAGATGCGGAAAATCAGAAGACTGAACGGAAAATGGCTGAAATGATCTATCATGCTGGGTGCCACTAGGAGAACTCTGATAACATCAGCTCGGTGGTGCTGCATACGCTCAACGATCTTAAGTTCACACACATTTCAAGTTCGGATGACATACAGTAGCGGTAGTACGAGTAGTGGTTGCTCTATTTGCAATATGGATAGCCAAACGGATTGGGATTGCCTTACCTGACGATGGGAAGTACCTGGAGACATCGCCGCGCTTCAGCGTCGGCAGCTTCTGGGCCTTGATGGCCTTCAGTTTGATTGCCAGGACATTCTCCAGGCTCTTACCGCTCTGCAGATGTTCGTCGGGGTTTTTTCGTATATGCATATATATTTTTTAGAGCGTGATGTTGTTGTTGTGGTGGTTTTTTTTGGTGGTCGTGTTGTCGTTGAAAGTTCAGGAACCAATATATGAGCGAGCGTACGACGAGGAGCGAGTACGATATCGATTTCGAGGCGGGGCAGGTGACACATGTGCGTTGGGGGCGTAGGTATTGTTCAATAGTTTACACATTTATTCACAGTTCGAGGCAATTTTGGTGTAATTTGGTCCAGGAGATGTGGCAGCGGTTGTTCATGATGATCGATGGACGTTCGAGTGTCGATGGATATATAAAAAAAAAAAGTAATTCAAATTAAAAATAATCTCAAAAAAGTGGGTATGCTAAATTGCAGTGATGCCAAGAGCTAATGGAAAATTATTGTGGGAAAATATAGATCCCTAATTACCTTAGTTATTTTTAATGCAAAATGACTAAGGTTTATTGAGCAAAATACTAAAAACATTTTTAAAAGCCGTAGAAAACATTAGTAAATTAATTTAATAATTATGTAAATTAAAAATTGTATTAAATAGGAAATACTATGTTTTGTTTGTATGCCTATATATTTGTTGGCTCACTACTTAATCAATAACTGAAAAAAAAAACTTTTCATATCACAAAGTTTAAAAATTAGTTTTGCTTTAAGTACGTTAATTAAGCAAGTTCATTTAAGTACAATTTAATGTAAGCAAAAACATTGAACAGGAAAAATAAAAACTAGGCACAAAAAGTAAAATATAATTTGGCACCACTGCTAAAAGATACAAGGACCGTTTGAAAGATAGGACAAACTAGCATGCAGGAACGGCCTAGAGAAGTAATCCCCCTAGGAGGTAACGCTAGGCTAACATGATCTGTGGGCGTGGAAATGTGCAGAGATAACGAGGCGGTTCGAATTCTTGGTTGGGAATGGCGACTTGGTGAATTTACAGAGTCTGGATTCGGTGTCCAATTCAGGTGAAAGTCATGAGGGTTTTTATTTGAATTTTTTTCTTTTTTTGCTTGCGGTGGCGGCAATCGGAAATACTAGTGGAAAAACTGCACGGGTGTTCTAGATTCTGCAGTGGAATTTTGAAAGAGAATTTCGGCATATATTGTAGGTTGTATGTAAAGTGAGTTCGAGTAAATATATAGATATACTTATTGCAAATGGAACTAGCAGGAACTTAACTGGAGTTGATTGATTGTACATAAGTGGGCATTAAGTTCGACCAACCTGAGCTAGTCATGTATATGTCGATATATCCACCGCGCTTAATCGGGGGCAAGTACTTGGACCGATCGGAATCAAATTTCTGCCGCAAAATCAGTTCCACTGTGCGCATGGTCTGCAATGGTAATTTCCTTTATGTATTTAGGTCCTTGAACAACGGATGTAGCAGCCGATGTCGGGGCACGATGGCTAAATTAAAATAATGGAAGGTGACCTTCAACCGCCCAAGCGGGAAACTCTTCGAACGGCCCACCACTCACACCAAACGGCGACACAGGCAGCCCGGCCCAACAAAAACTATTTTTAGTCGAAATACTTGATACTTATGAAAAAGGAAAGTGAACAGAACGAAAAAGGGAATAATATATAGCGGGCTATGCAAAAATATGCATGTGGCGGTGTGAGTGCATATTGCAAAATCGAGGAAATTACAATAGAAGGCTTAGCGGCCACACGCGGTTTGCGAAATCCACGAAATAAACAGAAAACAGTCGTAAACAGAAAACGATGCCGGCTAGATAAGGAAAGTTTAGATGTGTGAACGGAACAGCTGCGATCAATAAAATATCATTTGTACATATAGGAATTATGGTCTTTAATATGTTATTCTTAATAATTTGAGAACTTTTTCAATCCATATGCCAAAACAACTATTTAGTAGGCAGTCTTTCCTGATCAAATTTATACCATTCTCCACATTTATAGTATTATTATTTAATTTTTTTTTTTAAACATCCTCCATATTTTACTTTCTGTTTTTTTAAAACATCCTCCATATTTTATTTTCTTTTTGTTCTTTGAAAATCTGAAAAAGTTGCATTGCTTTTGTAATTTACTTTATTTTTTATTCAAACTGCAAGTTTTAAAGTTTAAAACCGTATTATCAACCTCTAAACACCCATTCAAAGATTGGTTAAGTTAGTACATATATCATTTCAAAATTATTTGAAAATAATGTAATAATTACAAAATTATTTAAAAAAAAAACTTTATAATTACATAATTAAATACAATTTAATTTTAGTATTTTGCAAGCCTTATTAAATTCTTATTGATTGTATTATTTTGCCCGCAAGTGTTATATGAAAGTGTATAGACAAACATGGAAATGGTCTTTATTTTGTTGTATTTTAGATGTTTTTAAATAAATGACGAAAGAAATTTGGAATAATGAATTAAAGTTTTTTATTTAAAAAAAAGATTTCGTTTGATTGGAAGAGTTAATATCGCACTTTTAAATGTTTGTGAGATTAGAGGCTTCTATGGAAAACTTTTGGCTGGGTGTTAGGCTACAATATAAAATGCTACACCCTAAAAGAGTTGTTTTCTGTAATTTGGCCTGTATATCACTGACATTTATTTTATTGACTATAGTATTTCAGTATTTCTTTGTGGCTTTTGTATAAGAACCATGCCCATGTCAATCAATAGATCTTGAATCGAACCCACGTGCGAAAGAAAAACGGGACTGGGACTGCGAGTTAACCTAGCAAAGCTCAGCTGAAAATAGAGGTGTTAGATAATAGAACTAGGGAAAGTGCTGGCTGGGGGCCACTTGAGGCCAAGGGCGGAGGAACTGACCCTGACCAAGTGCCGGGGATGTGAGCACGGAAAGTGGTCAAGAGCACAGCCGCACACCCCACTTCCTACACACCTACACACCCACATACGTGCATGTGCATATCACATACCAACAACACTCAACTGTAAAAAAGGGGCGCGGAAAATCAATTTTACACGGCGGGTGGAAAACCCTTTCCCAATCTAATCAGCCGCGACACGAAAGAGGCGGGGGCGGCAAAATGTGGGTGGTGTTTTTTTGGGTGTAAAGTGGAATTTTTTCAGGGAATCTACACAGGACTTCCTACGTACGTCGAAGGATATGCTGGGCTCCTTGCCGTCGGGCAGGAAATACTCCACGTTGAGTGTCAGCAGGCCGTGCTGGAAGATCCGGCAGGTAATCACCGTGTCCTTGTTCTCGTGCAGGACAGCAAAGTACCCGTTTTCCGGCGACTCCATCGAATAGGCCAGCTCCAGCTGGGGGAACACCTGCTCCAGCTCGTTCCGCAGGATCTTGGCCACCTGCAGGCGCGCCTCCTCGTCGACGGTCTTGTCCTTGTCGAGCGTAAAGTCAAACAGAATAGTCTGGGCCGCCATGGTGTCAAACTCGCGCTAATCCGTAGAACCAACCGTATAACCGCGTACCGCTATCGAAACGAAATCCCAGTGATGTGAGTTCCGAGCACCGATTGCAGGTCGATTTCGATTGTCCATAAGTAAGGCTGTATATTGGAAAAAATACTAGAAAATTAAAAGAAATGTAATTTTAAGTTAGCGTCAAAAACAGCTGAACTGTTGGGCGAATATCTCGAAAACTGACGATAATAATTTAATGAATATTTTACTGTAGTTAGTTAATGTAATTAGCAATTTTCTGGGATACCGTGCAATGTGGAGCACGCTCTGTGAAATAATTCATTTTAAGTTAGCGTCAAAAACAGCTGAACTGTTGGGCGAATATCTCGAAAACTGACGATAATAATTTAATAAAACTTTTACTGTAGTTAGTTAATTTAATTTCTGATTTTTTGGGATACCGTGCAATGTGGAGCACGCTCTGTGAAAGAAGAAATAATTCATTTTAAGTTAGCGTCGAAAACAGGAAGCACCCAATGGCCATTGAGGGCATTTCCCCATGCCGCTAAACTGTTGGACAAATATCTCGAAAACTGACGATAATAATTGTTTGAAACTTTTACTATAATTAGTTCATTTAATATTTAATTTTTTGGATATCGTGCAACATGGAGCACGCTCTGTGAGAGGCAAAAATAATTAGTTTAAGTTAGCGTCGATATTGAATTTGTAAGTCGGTTGTTGTGTCGGATACTGCGGTTCATGTCATAGCTGGCCATGGTTCTTGTACTGGGGTTGGCGGTATTCCAATATCCGTTTAAAATTGAAACACTGTTAGGCGATTTTCTCGAAAACTGTCGATAATTTTTTAATAAAATTTTCAGGGAGCATAGCTTAATTAACCCCCCGTCATACTATAAGCTCGAAATTGTGGAGCACGCTCTGTGAAAAAAGTTATGGATAAATTAGTTTTTAAGAAATAAAAGGATGTTCCCGTAAAATCGACATGGCCATGTAAATTTCAGGTCATGCAAAAACGTTTTTACATGAAATACTCTTTTCGACCAGGTCATATTTACCTGGCCGCATATCAAATTAAAATGGATCTTAAATAATGTAAAATTTATCTACGTTTCATATAGATTTTGTTTTGGGTGAAGTTTAAAAACAAAGTCACACACCGTTGGAAAAATTATCAAATAAAAATCGCCATCGAATGGGAATAAAAGCTGAAAACAATTGTTTTAGGGCCGTTTTCTCGACCGTTTGTTAAATTTAAAGTAGGGTTAAAGCCGTGAAATCGTATGAGAAATCATTGTTTTAACCCTACTTTACATTTAACAAACGGTCGAGAAAACGGCCCTTAACATATCAAAAATATAACAAATTAATCAAAAGAAAAGCGGAAATGAAAATGAAAACTCATATTAATTCCTTATTCATAATCAAATACAAAACAGGTACAGAATTAGTAAGTTAAACCCAACACTGGATAACCGGAAGAAAACCCCTGGTTAGTTTTCAGTTTCCCCTAGCTAATGGAGAACGATATTAATTTGAGTGGAGTGGTAGGGTACCTGCCAAACCCTGAGCTCAATTAGAAACAGGTTTTGAGTGCTGAGATCTCACAATCTCAACTGGCCTGTTAGTCGACATTCGGAGCTCAACAGAGGCGGTTTCTCGCGGCGGAAGAAAGTAGAGTTTATAACTGGGATAATAGATAAATAACAATAACTAATCCGAAATCCCCGCGGTACAATGCGCAAATCGCCGGGCAGCCTCGCCTCGGAGGCCTTCTCCAGTTCGAACTCCTCGCTGAGCAACTCCTACAGCGATGCCAGCGATCTGGCCAACTGGGAGGAGTACGTGGCCACCGACGGGAGTCTCTTCTACATGGAGTATGTGAGAAATGAGAGGACGGGCGGATCGGTGGAGCGGCGGGTGGAGTTCATGCGACGATCGCTGCGCCTGGGAAAGAAGTCGTCGCGTCGCCAGCAGCAGCACAGCAATAATCAGAATCAGAATCAGAACCAAAACCAGTTGGAACCGCAAGAGTTCCGCTTCTCACAGTTCAAGACCGCTGCCCAAGATTCCAAGAAACTGGAGCTCGTGATCACAGCCGCCGATCGCTTTCGATTCGGTCGAAGATCCACGGCAGTGGAATCCATCCTGGGCTTCCGGGTGCTCCCGTTTCCAGATCAACCCGAGTGCCTGATGGTGGATGGCTTCGTCCACGATTTGAGTGCCCTGCAGCATGGCATTAAGCGCGGTGATTGGTTCAGATCCCTGAATGGCATAGAACTGTATGCCGGCAATGTGGATGAGCTGCTGCAGCAGTTCGTGGAGCCCACTCAGGTGTGCCTGGGTTTCCAGTCCTGCTCTGCGGATACCTCCTTACCCACCACCGATCCTTCTTGTACTCCAGGCAGGCAGCAGGATGAGCAGTTGTCCAGGGTGGAGAACTTTGCCATGTTCACGGAGAAATTCGAGGAAATGTTGTTGGAGGAGAACCAAGCTGATAATTCGGAGGTGGCCCTGCCCTTTGCCATGTTGCTCCTGCCACCGGAATGCTATCAGCATGAACAGCAGCAGGATTCGCTGTACTACTTCCCGGAAACCCCCGATAATTTCCTCTTCAAGGCCCGCGGCAGTTTCCTCACGCTCCACGCCGTGCTCAGTGAACTCCACACCCAACCGCTGAGTTCGCGTCTCCGGGTGGATCAGGTGCTATACCATGTGAACTACCGACGGCTCAATGGTTTCCTAGTGCTCTTTGCCTACGCCGGAGGACTCTGCAGTGCGGAGGAGTGCAGCCTGAGATCGGATGAGCTGATTGGTTACATACGCTTCTCGCTGCCTGGCTTGGTCCTGGAGAGCTTCAGTCAGGAGGGAGGAGAAACCGGAGATCCGGGTAACAGCGGTTCCGGTTTGAAGCTCTTCCTTCGCCACTTTTGCGAGATCCAAAGGACCCGCCTGCTGGCCAGGTGTCGTGGGCAGATCCGCTTCGAGGAGCTCCTGGGCCACTCGAGAAGTTTACCATTGCCCAAAGAAGCCCAGTTGAGGATCTTTGATGCCCTGAGTGAAATGGAGGCCATGGACTACCGCAACTGGAACGATGAGCCACTGACTACGCATAGGGAATTCTTCATCTACGGCAGCGCCTTGTACTTTGATGGCTTCCTGGTGGCCAGTCTGTTGCCTCCAGAGATTCGGGTCAGTGTGGAGGGATTCCTGAGGTGCCGCGGCATCTTCGAGCTGCTGGGAGCGGCGCCGGGAATCCGCGTTCGTGAGATGTACGTCTGGGAGGAGATCGTTTTACCCAGCGCCACGGGTCGCTATTTCCTCACCATCTGCACCAGGAATCATCTCAGTCTGGCCGTCATCCTAAAGATCTTCGATGCTCCGGACATGGCGCCCGATGCGGTAATTGGTCCTTCGCTCTTCTACATCGAGGAGATCCAGGAGACGCTGGATCACCTCGTCCAGTGCGGCATTGAATCACTGGCCATGTTCTGGTCCGTTTCCAACAAGAGACCCGAGGTCCTAGAGGCCATCGCTGGCGAGGATTCCAGCAGGGAGGCGGAAAAGGAGACCAACAGCCGGCTGGAGACGTTCCTCAAGCAGAAGCTAACCGGGCTGGGGAATTCGACAGTGGAGGAGGAGGCTCAACTATGCTCCTCTCTCGGCGGCGGCTCCTCCATCCACAGCCTGACGCCCAGCGACTCCCAGCTGCATGGCGCTGGCGAGGATTCGGACAGCGGTTCCGACTGGGAGAACTTTGCCGTACAGCATCCGCTGCACTATGGACTGAATCTCGGGGCAGAGAGCCACAACCAGAGCCAGATGACCGAGTCCATGTGGAAGGAGATCAACAATGTGGTGCCGGTGAAGATTTCCGCCGGCTGGAAGAACTCGGTGCTCCATTACGTGTACATTGACATGGCCAGTGGGTCGTTGTTTGCTCCCTTTACCGATGGATCCTCGGAGAGTTCCTCGTTTCTTTCGGAGATCCGCCAGGCATGTCACCTCATCCACGCCGTGCTGGAGAAGTCGAAGCACTACCGCCGGCAGCTGTCGGAATCCTCGAGAGCACAGACGAGTTCCAATGGGCACAGTCATGCCGTATCGCTGGTCAAGGAGCATGGAATGACCCTGGAGGCCTCCAAAGCGGAGAGCCAGGCCCAATCTTCGAAGAGCAGTCGCTTTGTGGTGGTCGGTAGGCTGTTTCAGTCGCCTGCGAAGGAAGTCTACGTGTGCCACCGATCCGATGTTCCACAAAACATGGTCGAAATGGCCTTCCGATTGTCCTTCTTCTCCATGGGATAGGGATTAAATATTAGGAGGATTATTAATAGGAATCTATAAAATATTTAATCCTTGAGATATACGTAGATGGTATCAACTTTAGCTTTAATTTTGTACTTGCCCAACATATTTATGTTTTTATTTAATTATAAAACGTTAAAATCTATTATTATAAACTAAGTTTTTAAACCACTGGAAATTACTGGATTCCTAAAGAAAAAATAATATTTAGTCTTACATTAAAACTAAATTATTATATTTAAGTTATACCAATTTAGGCAAGGATATTTTACCTACGGAAAATGCAATATTCCATTTTCAAATTATGTATATCTTGAATAATACGTAGATGGTATAAACTTTAGCTTTCATTTTGTACTTGCCCAACATATTTATGTTTTTATTTAATTATAAAACGTTAAAATCTATTATTATAAGCCCATTTTATGATCCACTGGAGATTGCTGGATTGCTAAAGAACAAATAATAAATAGTCTTACATTAAAACTAAATTATTATATTCAAGTTACTCCAATTTAGGCAAAGATATTTTACCTACGGAAAATGCAATATTCCATTTTCAAATTCATTAAAGTAAATAAATAATTATAAGGGTAACGAATTAAAAACTTTTACAAATTTAGCAATTGTATATTTTTCTTACATTGCATTTGAACAAAAACACAAAAAGTTGTTAACGAGAAAATAAAATATAGACTTAAATGAAAACTAAATTTTTATATTAAAGTTACACCAATTTAGGCAAAGAAATTTTACTTACGGAAAATGCAATATTCTATTTTTAAATTCATTAAACAAAGAATATAAATAATAATAATGGTAACGAAATAAAAATATATTTCTCTTACATCGCATTTAAACAAAATCACAAAAGTTGTGCGAATGTGTTTCATTCATTCATAGTTCATAATAGAGAAGCCATCAAAAATGGTCACTATTTTTAGAGTTCGGTGGGAGGGTCCCATTCTAAGAGTCTAAAAGTAGTTCCACACACCAGAAGACAAGAGGCACGCCGAGCAATAAATCCACGTGAACAAGCGGCTCAAGGTGGTGCTCCCCCAAATACTCTGTCTTTTTGCCAATTTCTCAAAGAATCGACAGTTCCGTTTGGATGTTCCAATTCGAAAGATATCTCTGTGCTGAACGCTTCTAAAAGATCTTCAAAATAGCAATGGATAGGAAGTTTATTAGATGGATTATATGCTTTGTTCTGATCTCCTTGGCGAAAGCACTGGAGGAGGAGATCGACGGAGGACTACTGAACATCACCAGCAATCCCTCGGATGATAAAACCGTTCCAAAATTACCCAGTGAAGTCCAAAAGGCTGTTTGCACAGTGACCGCTGGGGAGGTAAAGGCATCTGCCGAGGCTGTCACCACGAAAACCCTGAAAGGAGTCTGCGGATCGGGTGGGTTATGTCTTCTCTTACCCTTGAAATCCTAAGATTTATTATATTCCATTTACAGAAGAAATGAACATGGCCTTTCGGAGTCTGGAGAACAAACTTTACGAAGAACTGCGCGTCATGAAACTGATTTTGGTGCACTTGGCCAAGGCAAATGGTCTAAAAGTGAATACCGGGATTACCACTCCTTTGGCGACTCCACAACCAACCGCGAAACCTATTAATATTGCTCCGCTGCCGCTGTTTAAGCCAATAGATCCTGCTAAAACGATAGCCGATTCAAGTAGTTTCAAAGCGGAGGAGAACGAAGTTGCACCAGATTTTGGTGCTAAAAAGACACCCACTCTTAAAAACCTAGAGACAAAGGGTAACTCAGATTTGGGGCCTCGAGATAACGAAGTTGACAAGTTCAATAACACGGTGCTGGCCGATCAGGATGTAGAGCTATTCACTTACTACTGGAAATTAGAGAACGTTACGGAACTTATAAAAGCCCCTCAGTTGGCCACCGTCAGCAGTCCCATTTTCAGCTTTAAAGGTAGGAAATTCATTATAAATTATAAATAAAATCAATACAAAATAAATCCCATTTAAAAGGCAAATCTTTGCAACTCAAATGCACCTTCCATCATATGAACCGCGAGCTGCTGAACCTGCAACTGGGATACGGCATCTTTAACCCTTCATCAAAACCTGGCCAAAGCGACAACGTTGTGATTGAAATGGGCGGCATCTTTCAGAATACCAAGTGGACCGAGGATGTGCCGCTGAAGCATAAAATCTCCATACTGGATCAGAGCCACCGGATGACGCAGGACCTCAGTTCACAGGCGCTGAACAAGCTCGACATGGGCTTCTCCATACCGAACAGTGTGCTTCTGGGCAGTCCGTACATTAAGCAGAATTCGCTTCTTATTCAGATTCTTTTATATTTGTGAATGACAGAACAACGTTTGTATATCCGGATGGGCGGCAATTAAAACAAAGAGAGACCAAAACCATGTGCTATTTAAAAAGAAGTCCATAAATCCGTTGCCACTTTACAGCTTGCTGCGTGCTCCCTTGGCCTTGATGTCGAGGAATGGCAGTCCGATGGGATACAGCTCCTTGCATGCCTTAAAGGTCACTATATCGTTGATTGGCTTGTGTCGCTCCATGTTCGTAATCTCCAGCGGCTCCGCCTCGGCAGAGGCATTCTCGTCGGTCTGCTGGGACACAATGTGCACGGACAGAACGCGTCGCTCCTCGCCATCCTTTGCGATGAATTTCTGTAATGCGTAATGAGGTTTTTAGACAGTAAAGTTTTAAGATTAACCATATCTACTCACCTTGAAGTAATCCACAAAGTCGGCCTTGCTTATCTTACGCAGTATCGCCACCTCATCCTCTTCCCTCTCAAAGTGATACGTCTGCATGGCGATTTCACCATAGAACTGGCTGAATTGCTGGAAAATGGTCTTCGGCTTCTCCAGCTTCTTCACGGCCAGAGCCTCCTTGTGTCGCTCGAACTCATCCAAGGGCATGTCCTCAATTACTTGCTGGGATAAGAGAAATGTGAATTAATTTAGCTACTATTAATAATGATTATTCATTACCAGATAAGTTTGCAGAAAGTTCTCAATACGATCCTCCACAAAAGACGGGTGCTTGGCGGACTGCACAATGATGCGAATGCCATTCGCTCCATTCACCTTACGCACTCCACTAAACACAATGTAGCCCAGCTGCTCCTTTGTGCGCAGGCAATCGTAGCAGGGTTCGGAGAGAACCTGGGACACCAGATTAACCATAATGTTTGTGCGATCCGTTTGGGCGCCGCATTGCAGGTAGAGCTGCGTGCAGGAGCTTTTGTGGAACTCGTTCTCCTTCTCGAATAAATAGCTGTCGCCTTTAGGGGAACATAATAAGATCTCTCAGTAAAAGGAAGTTAGAGAAATACAAGTTACTTACCTGCAAGCAGCTTGTACTCTCGCTTCTTCAGCATCTGCCTTGCCAAAATGGGAAGCTTCGAGGCATTGGTGGCCTCCAGTCGGGTGTTCACTCGCCCCGCGATGTCCGTAGCCTGCTGCTTGGTCACATTGCCGAAAATAAAGCACTCTGTGTGCAGCCGCTGGAAGAACTCCTTGGCAAAGTTCAACACTCGATCGTAGGTAACGACTACCAAAGGAAATCTTATAAATAAACACATTTATATCAAAGATAAGTGAGGCGTTTGGCTTACGTTCCATGGCGTCCAAGAGCTCCACATTCGCCCAGGCGTTTTCGGTTAACAAAAGAGCTAAATAGTAGATGGAATGCTGATAGGGTTGCTCAGCCTTAAAGTTTTTCAGTGAACGTACGTATTCCTCCTTCAGGATGTCGAATCGTTTCTCGTCGATGCTGAAGTCAAACAGATGATCTAAGAGTTTCTCCAGCAAAACGACCTGCTTGTCACTGAAACCGCGAATGGTAAACTGTGGGGAATACATTTTTAAATTAATTTTCAAGGTTTATAATTGAGTTAGGCAAACCCACATCGATGCCGCACGTCTTTCCCATCACACTGAGCTTCAAACTGGCTAGCTCTGCATCGTACAAGTACTCATTCAACTGATCCTTCAGCAGCATCACCATCATATGGTTCAGATTGCAGTTTAAAGGATCCAGATAGGCAATCGGATTGGACATGTCGAATGTCATGCAGGCCTTCGGTTTATTGAACTGATTATCCTGCTTGTGCCACACCCTCAAAATGGGCGTATCCATGATGATAGTGGGATGTTTGGGAGCATCGGCTGGAACCTCGGAAATGTCAAAGTTCGTGGGTATGAAGCTGTTTGGCAGTGCCAGCTTGAGGTTCTCGTTAAGATCACAATTCTCCCAGCACTAAAAAAGTGAAAAAACGATTAATTTTTGAATAACTGCCAGAGAAAGCCCAACTCACTTGCACAGTATCCTTGGTCACGCGCTCAACGCCGTACTTAGTTTTGTAGTAGGGCTCCGCCAGGTCGCAGTCCTGCTCAAAACTCTGGCTCACCATTACGATGCGGCTCTTGGAGGGCACCAGCTCATCTAGTAAACTTTTAATCAAGTCCGGTCGCCATTCGTTGCTCAGATATGGAGCGATAAGTACCTCCTCCAGGGGGAATATCTGCATGGACGAAACGGCATGCGTGACCAGGCTCTCCGGCTGCTCCTTTTCCTTGAATCGGAATCGCATTTCGTTGAGCTTTACGCACTCGTCAAAGATCCACTTCTTGGGACCCTCCTCGCGCAGCATTCCCAAATACTGGAAAACGATCTTAACAATATCGTCTACGTGCTCCAGGCCCTCCTGAGTGAGATCGACCACAATGTCGAAGAACCCAAAGCCGTTTTGCGTGTTCTGATGTCCGGCCATTAGACTGCAAAAAGTAGAAGTAATTAGAAAAGGAATAAGCATTAAATCTTGGTGAACTCACTCATTGCACCAGCCCAAACGGCGCAGTTCGGATAGAATGCTTCCCTTGCCCTCGTGACCGATGAGGTGCGTCAAGTAGTTATCGGGCTATAATTAAAAAAGAGGTTTAATAGGATAACTACAGAGGAATCGTGCTAGGTAACTGTGCTACCTTAAACTTACGCCCGACTTGTAGAACTCCGTCAGATCGTCTGTGGTGAAGCTTATGGTAAGCGATCGGATGTCTTTGATGGGCACTATCTTCACCTTCTGGCCATAGCGCTCCTCGGCGTAGGGATGACGTGGCCAACTCGGAACATCGACGTTCTTGTTTTCGATTTCGGAGAACTTCTCCAAGACCATGCCCTCCAGTTCGTCCAGCGATTCTTTTCCAATTACAGCCAGGCACATTATGTTGGCCGAATACCACTGCTTGTGGAACTTGAGCAGCTCATCCCGCACATCTATGTTCTTGGACTTGGGTATTTCCGAGAGAGTGGTCTTGTTGCCACTCCCAAACTTGCTGTAGGCATGATCCGGCTTGGCCAAGTGCCTGTTTACCTGCTTAATGCGCCACAGATCGCTGGGCAGGTTCTTCTCGTGCTCGGAATTTACCTGTTATTATAAAGTTTTAGTTTTGGGTTGGAGTAAATAAATTATTCTATGATTACCGCATTGATTTCCCGCTCAGTGGCGCTGGGCGTGAATAATGGGGCAATGAAGAACTGGGCGAAGCGATCCAGGGCTCCGTCCAACTTGTCCGGCGCCACGTGGAAGTGGTACTTGGTCATCAGGGGATAGGTGGCGGCATTGCTGCTTCCACCGCTCTGCGAGAGGTAAGTGGTGTAGCCGTTCTCATGCGGATACTTCTCGGTGCCCAGGAAGAGCATGTGCTCGCAAAAGTGGGCCAATCCGGGGAGGTTTGTGGGATCCGACATGTGGCTAAAAGGTTCATACTTATTAGATGGATTTTTACAGGCTTTTTAGACCCATTTACCCCACTTGCACGGACAGCGCGGCGGCGGAGACATCTGTTTTGGGATCGCTGATCAGCAGGACCTTCAAACCATTCTCCAGCTGCAATCCTCGGTAGTCCCGCGTGTCCTGCAGCGACTTCTCAATGTTGTTCAACCTACAAAAGGGGATTTTTAGACCTCTTAGGTAAATGACTCTGCAATCACTTACCTCAAAATGGGCTCCATGTTGTCGGGCTTTCTGGTCGCGGACTTTTGCGAACCCTCGGCTATGGTCATCTTGGGCTTCCGGAGCGTGCCAATCGATCGATGTGTTACTGAAATGCTGGTCGTCGTCGTCACCGCACTTGACCTGTGCGAAATAAGTGCGCTTTAGTGGAGTCCGCTGGCGGAAATCTGATTTTTAGCTGCCAACCGTCGACCCAAAATCGCTGTGAAGGCAAAAATCGATTTTCTGCACGTTAGATACATTGAGTTTCTGAAATACTAGAAACGACGGAACTCCGGCTTCACGTTGCGCCCGTACGTTTGGATTTGCGGAAGTGGGCGAGGTAGTTTTCCGAGCCGGTTGTATCCGCGTCTAATCAAATTTAAATCGCTTTTCGGCCAAAAATTAAGTTCTGTTCGTTTCGCAACAACTACAATAGCAAATAATCATCTGTTCGCAGGGCTGCCAGCTCTTTGCAATATGGGAACTAGTTCAATGCGCTACCAGATCGTTGAAAGTATAGTGGTTCCGAGGAGGGGATGCCACTTAAAAAGCTTCTGTGGCTTGGTATTCTTATTTGAATGTAAAAAGAGATTTTTAAGAAGAACTACCTACAAAAAACTTTTTCTTAATTTTGTTATGTTTTAGTTGTTTATACAATTAATTCGCTGTGTTAAAACTCTTCCAGACTGGACTAGATAACAGAAGCTCATATGCAAATGTCTGATAATAATTAAATACATTTTCTAATTCCTTGAATAATTTAAAATATTCTATATTAACTAAATTTATTTCCTAATTTAAAAGCTACTGCAACAACCCTAAAAAGAAGCCGTTATAAAAGTACAAATCCCGTGAATACCCGTTATCGAATCGTCTGGCAACGCCGCTCTCCAACCCGCCGCAGTTGTCCAAAACTGGCCGACTGCAAAAAAAAGAATCCGCGGGCTGTAACTGCATTTTGTTACTTTATTTTATTGATAGTGCTGCTGGCAAACAAACACTCGCCAATCCGCCGCAGTCGCCAGCCAGTTTTGTGGCGATGCCATTTTTTTGCCATCCCAGCCGTAAAGTGTGTGTTCGCGGACCACAAACTGCGTCGCCATCGGTGTGTGGGTGCAGAAATAAATGCAAATTGTTGTAAAATGCCGTGCTTTGGTGTGCGTGTTGATAAGTGCAATACGCAAAAGTAAGAACATTGAGGCAAATTCGTATAATTCGTGGGATCAGGCGTTTCCAGAGGTGAGTAGTACGTTTCGTCCGGGGAGATGAGTCCGCCTCGCTTCGACCAGCAATCAAATTAAGTTCTAATCAAATTGTTTACCCACTAAAGTGGGTGTTGTGCGAACAAAAAAAGTGCAAGTTCTGCTGCGTAAAGGTTAAATATATTTCTCGGATTGAACGATTTTTCCTTATGGTCTCAGAAATGGGCCAAGTTTAGCCGGACTGGAGAGTGGGAACTTCAAGATCCCCTCTCAAAGTTCCCGTGCCTGTGTGCTCTGCGTGTGCCTGTGTGGGTTTGGTAACGGTGTTTGTGACCGTTTTGCAATGGCACGAGAAAATCAATAAGCTGGCAAAAATTGAAAAAAGGAGACTTCCCAGACATGGCAAAAAATAAGCCAAAGATTGCCGCTATGATGGGCCATACGGTAATACGTTAATTATGCTAACATGCTTCTCGCGACCAAAATGCCCAATGGCTAATTATCTCGCCAGTTTCACACCTCGCATGGTGTATTACTTAGATCCTGTCTATAAATATATTTAGTTTTAAGTGTTAAGTGGTCATAAAAGATTTAAAACCGTTATTAAAAGAATATTTTTGGATTTCATAAAATACCTTTAGTAAAAATTATAGAAAACTTCAGGTTTTTAAAAGTAATTATTAATCTTACTTTTTTTATATTAGGCCATTTGGTCTACAAAAGAAACAAATTTTAAAAAGTAAAGTAAACCATATAGAAATATTTTGCTTAAGAATTAGATAAAATTTTTATTTTTATATTTGTTTACTATATGTACGTAAGTGTAAAAAATAATCATAAAAAAGTTGTATTTGTTTATCAATAGCTTTTCGTAATTCTTCAGACTTTGCTATAATGGAAAGATAAGTTTATAAAAAACCATTAACAAAGAAAACCGATTGCTACATATATAATTATTAGGGTTAACGTCCGTCAATTTGTAGAATGTAGAATGGAAAGAAATGTGAAGACTTCGGATAAACACACTCCTGTAGAAAAAAGCGACCGCATTGGCCGACCGCTCAACGGTCTTCAATTGTATTGTTATTGTTTTGGGTTTGAAGCGCTTCCGAAAATAGACTGCAGTTCGTCGGGAAGACCGGACAATGGATTCCCATGCAGTGTGGGCCACGCAGGAAGAAGCGTGCTCATTGCGACTTGAGGATTGATGGCAGATATTTTTAGTGCAGTCCCAATTAAGTTCAATTAGAGACCAAAAGAGCTTATCAGATACACTGGACTCAACTTCCTCCGTGACAAATAGACCGGGGGTCAATGAATTTGGATTGGGTTTTACGGCCAGCGATAAACTGGATTCAATAAGATACCGAATTTCCCACAATAATATGAATCTGAGGAGGTTTAATGGTAGCCCATTGAGTATTTTCCCTGTAATAAACATAAATAAACAGAGGGATCTAGACTAAACAATATTTCCATCAATGTAGACGAGTTTTTTAAACAGTATTAAAATCCATTTACAAAATTATTTCCATTTCATAAAGTAGTTAATTAAGTTGATCAATCAAATTCATTAAAGTACTCTGTTCAGTGGGGAATTAAGCACGGGTCAGACGATATTTTGTGTAATCAATTATTTAGCAAGTCGATTGTTAGACTAGAATTTAGCATCAGCGATAGACTTTACCAAAACCGAGGACCATTGCTATAATGGTGATTCTACGCAGTTCAGTGTTGTATCAAAAGAGGGAACTTGTCTTTTAATAACGTAATAAATAAATAGTTTATTGCTATCTTAAAAATATATGTATATAATGTAAAATTATTATAATAATTAGGTATTTATCAAGCATTTGATTTCTGTATATAATGTATAATTATTATAATAATTATGTATTTGATTTCTTAATTATTAAATCAACCATTCCATTTCAGATTCCATAACCTAGTCGCGGCATTTTTAGACACTGCACCAGTGCATGCCCAAAATGGACAACGAGCAGCCGCACCAAGAGTTGGTGAAGTGCGTCCTGGTGGGGGACACGGCGGTGGGCAAGACCCGACTGATCTGCGCCAGAGCCTGCAACAAACACGTCTCGCTATCCCAGCTACTTTCGACACATGTGCCGACCGTCTGGGCCATCGATCAGTATCGCATATATAAAGATGTAGGTTATCATTATAGGAAAAGAATCCAATTTACTCCATTGTTTTTCCATTCAAAGGTACTCGAGCGATCCTGGGAGGTGGTGGACGGAGTAAATGTGTCGCTTCGCCTGTGGGACACTTTCGGTGACCACGACAAGGATCGGCGTTTCGCCTACGGCAGGTTGGTACTCATTTAAATTCATTCAATGTCAAATACTATAACGTTCTCCTTGACCCACAGATCCGATGTGGTGCTGCTGTGCTTTTCCATTGCCAGTCCGATTTCCCTGCGCAACTGCAAGATGATGTGGTATCCGGAAATTCGCCGCTTCTGTCCGGATGTGCCCGTCATTCTAGTCGGCTGCAAGAACGACCTGCGCTATATGTACCGCGACGAGAACTATCTCTCGTATTTTGGCGAGAAGGGAACCTTTGTGAGGTATACGCTATATGTCAAACTAACAGGTTTCAGCCGGTTCTCTATAGTTTTCATTTTCTAATTAAACACCTTGTGGGTCTTTTTATACCCGTTACTCGTAGAGTAAAAGGGTATATTGTATTCGTGCAAAAGTATGTAACAGGTAGAAGGAAGCGTTTCCGACCCCATAAAGTATATATATTCTTGATCAGGATCACTAGCCGAGTCGATCTAGCCATGTCCGTCTGTCCGTCTGTCCGTCTGTCTGTCTGTCTGTCTGTCTGTCTGTCTGTCTGTCTGTCCGTCTGTCCGTATGAACGCTGAGATCTCGGAAACTATAGAAGCTAGAAGATTGGCATTTTGCATGCAGATTCTAGGAATTCCTACGCAGCGCAAGTTTGTTTCAAAATGGTGCCACGCCCCCTCTAACGCCCACCATCGCTTATATACGATTTTAAAAATTTTAATATTTTGGAAAAGTAAAAATGCAGTTTTATTGTGTTTATCAATACCTATCGAAATGTAGAAGAAATTTTTCAAATCGGACCATTCGTTAAAAAGTTATGCGTGATCAACGTTTTCTATCTCTATCTCCATCTCCCTCGCACTCCCTTTACCTGAGTAACGGGTATCTGATAGTCGGGGCATCCGACTATAACGTTCCCTCTTGTTATTAATTGAATTATTCTTTAGGTATACATTTATTTTTAGCTCTTAAACGAAAGCACTAAATAGCTGATTCAATGTTTTCAAACTGAGAATAACCGCTTTTACGCGATTTCTGTGATTCAGTATGATTTTTCTTAAATTAAATCAAGGGCTTTCCATTTAAAGTAACATTTTCCTTAGTTTCCATTTTCTAATTAAACATATTGTGGGTCTTTTTATTAATTGAATTATTCTTTAGGTATAAATTTATTTTTGGCTTTTGAACGAAAGCACTAAAGAGCCGATTCAATGTTTTTAAACTGAGTATAACCGCTTTTACGCAATTTCTGTGATTCAGTTTGATTTTTCTTAAACTAAATTAAGGGCATTTAATTAAAAGTAACTTTTCATTCTATTTATATTTATACAGTTAAATGTTTTTAACAAATTCATTGAACTTGACCAAATTTTCCTATACTTTTTTTAATTAAAGTGAAAAGTACTTCAACAATTTCTTACCCTAATTATATTAATAGGGTTTTCTTTTTAATATAATTGTAGTTAAATGTTTTTAACCAATTCTTTAAACTAAACAAAAAGTTTATTTACATTTTGAATCAATTTGAAAAATTCTTTTATAATTTTTTACTTTTATAATTCAACTTAACATTATTTTTTCTTAATGTTCTTAACAAATTCATTGAACTAATCAATGTGAAAAATTCTTACAATTACTTACCCTAATTCTATTTATAGGGTTTTGTAGTTAAATGTTCTTACCAAATTCTTTGAATTAAACTAAATGTGTATTTACTTTTTTGAATCAATGTAAAAAATTCTTTAAAAATATCCTACCTTTATTAATCCACCTAATATTATTTTTTACAGGGCCGCATTGAAGAGCGACCTGGTAATGCCGGATGAGGCACGTGCCGTGGCCAAGGAGCTGGGAGTGGCCTACTACGAGACCAGCGTCTTCACCTACTTCGGGGTGAACGAGGTCTTTGAGAACGCCATCCGATCCGCGTTGATTGCGCGCCGACAGCAGCGCTTCTGGATGACGAACCTGAAGAAGGTACAGAAGCCGCTGCTGCAGGCGCCGTTTCGGCCACCGAAGCCGCCGCCACCGGAGGTCACCGTAATGGTCGGTCACTACCGGCAGGACATCTACAACATGTTCCTGTCGCAGGCCTACACCGACTTGGTTCTGGTCGGAGCGGGTGGCACCAAGTTCGCCGTGCACAGATTCATGCTGGCCGCCGCGTCCAGCATCTTCCAGCGCCTGCTGAGCACCGAGCTGACCGACATGGGCGGGCGGAGCAGCAGCGAGTCTAGCATGGTCAGCTCCACATTCGGCGAGGCCACGATTGCGGACTTCAATGACGACACGGAATCATTGATCCGGTACGAATCACGCACACAACGGTGGGTATCGATTGCAGATCTTGTAAGGTGTTTCATTGAGGTGTTTCTATTCTCAGCAGCATGTGGGAACACCTGAAGCGCCGCTCCAGTTATCAGGCACTGCCTCTCATGGAGTCCAAGAGGTCGAACGATTTGTACAGGGAGCTGCATCATCCGGTTCTGCAGAGCATTCGACTGGTGCACGTGGAGAATCAACGTGGAGTGAATGGCCTGCAGACAATAGTCACCCTCAGCAAACTAATCTCTCCGCAAGCCCTGCACCAGTGCCTGAGATTTATTTATACTGGAACTATAGACAAGGATTGCAGTAATCTTCAGGTAGTATCTTGTAGTGAATCAGGATTAATATTTAAATTTAACTCAATTTCATTTTGTGCTTGCAGGAAATCAGAGAAGCTGCCGATCTGCTAGAACTGCCGCAACTGACTCAGCTGCTTTCGAGGCCTCAAACGGTTATGGAAAACTCCAGCGATGAGCCCAATCCGCACATTTGTCTCGTAAGCACTTCTATACCTCTCTCTCTATTAAAACCCATTAACATTCACCTATTTATTTGATATTTTAGCGCATAAAAGAAAGCATGGAACGGCATTGCATTGGTGACGGTTGTTTCAGCGATGTCACCTTTGAATTGGACGACGGTTTGATGAAGGTACATATATGCTTTAAAACCCCAAAACTATTAAACTTAATCTCCCTGACTTACAGGCCCATCGCGCTGTGCTAGTTGGTCGCTGTGATGTCATGCGCGCCATGCTGCTGGGCGACTTTCGGGAGGCACATTCCAATGTGGTAGGAACGGTCATAGGATCCTTAAGTTACCCAATATTATTGTGCAATCCCCTCGCCCCAGATCGTTTTCCCCGGCGTTACAATCTACACATTCCACAAGCTGCTGTGCTACCTGTACACTGACCAGATTCCGCCAATCTCGGCCGTCAAGTGCCTCAATCTACTGGAGCTGGCCAACCGACTATGCCTGCCGCGACTGCTCAACCTGGTTGAGTGCCGCGTTATCGAAGATCTCACTCTGATTTCCCAGAACGAAACCAATGAAACGGTGGATCACTGTCTAAAGTTGCTGGAGCCAGTAAAGGTATAAAATATATTATTAATATGAAATAAATAATACTACATTTACTGTATTCCCCAGCTGCACAACGCACATCAGTTGGCCGAGTGGTGCATGTCGTACCTGTGCGTCAATTACAACCTTATTTGTAAGTTCTCACTCAAGGGCCTGAAGGCGCTGCATCAGGATAATCAGGAGTACTTGCGCGAGCACCGCTGGCCTCCGGTTTGGTATCTGAAGGACTACGACTACTATCAGCGCTGCCTGAACGAGCTGAACAAGGAGCTGAAGCTGAAGAGCTCAAGACGCGAGTCGCCGAGCGATGACGAGGGCTGTCTGTGCTTCACAGGCGGTAAGTTTTTCTGCAGAACTATATCCCCCACATCCCAGCACACTTGACATCCCAGACCCAAAACTCCAGTCGGAGGATCAGCGCAGGTTTCAGTTTCAGCCAGTTAATACTTTTCTAATTGCTAGCACTAGAGGATAATGATTGTATGTATCACGGTTTGTACTCGTAGCCAGGTGTCTTGTTATGGTTTTCCTTTCCTTTTGATTTCCTTGCTCATTTACAACGACAACTCCATCATCGTTATATTAATGTGCGACATTTGGTCAAAGTATTCTCTTGCTGGCTGTTAGGTAAATCGAAGCGCAGCGGAGATGTTAGCGGAACCGCGGAGAACAGCAATGCCGATAATCAGATCTTCAACAGCGCCGGCAACTCGATCAACCACATCGATTTGGAGGCAGACATGGACCTGAATCTCTGACACCCAGCCCTCGGGCAAGGAAGGTGCGTAATCTATCTTAAAACAGAGAACTATGATATATAATCTATATATATTCATTTCAGGTCACTGCGCTTCATTGTGATCCTGCCGGTCCTGATCTGTTTCATCTGTACGATTTTAAGTATTTTGATACTTTTCCAAATCCACACATAACAAACCTCAAGAACACGGGGATAGCGACTGGGAATGGAGGGGGAGTGGCGCGTCTGCTTTTGACATTACGCAATATATAGAGCGCAAATTTGCCTTAGTGATTTAATAATACATAAGTCCAACATACATAGCTCGACCCAGAACAAAGGAGCATACTGCAAGTGCTTCGGATTTCTTATATTTATACGCCTATATAAAGTGCAAAGCATAAACGAGAGTATGCACATGCACCCCGGCGATATCGCTGTATTGCCTTACGATATATCGGTGTACACTACTCATCTTGTTCTGCACGATTCCATGGAATATGGCATGTGGAATCGAAGGGACGCAGACATGTGTATATCCTTATATTTGTACCTTTACCTAAGACATGTATGTATGTATATTTTTGAATTCCTACTTACGGAAACATTTGTCTAGCCATAGCCCTAAGCAATACTTTATGATAAGGACGCATTTTGTACAGAATGATAGAATAAAGCAATTACGAACAAATCTTTTGGATTTTACAATTAATTTATTAACTTTATTTCACAACAGTTGACATGCCATTCTAGAAAAACACAAATATCGAAACGTATTTCAAAGCCCCTGCATAGTTTTTACGGTTCTGGTACTCATTTGGGACACAGTACCATCCTCAACCTCGAGATCTTGCAGCATGGCAATCATCTCCTCGTCCGTGATCACAACCTCCGCCTTCTCCTTGTTGTTGTTGATGAGTGGCGTGAATTTAGCTGGCGATGATTCGCCGCATAGATCGCGCAATTCCTGTTCCAGCTGATCCTCATCCTGGTTCGCTCCCTCCACGACGCTATTGGACAAAACGTCCTGAACCTCACGATGTTGGTCGAGAGTTTCCCGAACATCGGCCAGAACTTCGTCTACGTTGTCGTATTTCAGGCCAGAATCAGAGAGAATCTTCTTAAGGGAATTTGAACCTGTTTTCAAGGCGTCGAGCACAACGCCACTGTTTCGGGCCTCTTCCACACTGGACAAAAGGGACTCGATGTTGTGCAAGGCAATGCTAAGACGTTCGTGTTTCTTCTCCAGGAGATGCCTTTTTCGTAGATATGTTTTGGCCATTTGACGCTTGTTTTCCTTCAAGTACTGACGTGCTTTTTCGTCGTTCACCTTTATCTGCTCCTCCAGGTCTTCCAACTGCTTGAGTAACTGGGCCTGAGCATTCTGTTGATTGTAGACGTCATGATCTTCTTGGCTTATGTTGAGATCATCGCCGTCTTTTTCTAAATTGAAGATGGTTAATAAAATAATATACCTATTTATAGCTGAGGAAACTTACTTGGTATTTTGACCAAATGAATCTGGCGTAATCCTTTTTTAACCTCGAATTCCAGACCGACGAGTTGGCGAACATTTAAGGCCAGCAAGCAAACGCAGAAATCTTTGTCTGAATGAATGCGCACTTGTTGAGCCTTGCAGAGTGTTTTAAAGGTGTCGAAATGCAGGAGTTTTCCACTGTTCTCGGATAACACTTTTTCGGCTATGAGGTCGCAGGTGCTCTATAAAGATTTGCATACATATGTACATGTTTAGGATCTCTTATTTCTTTAGATAACATTTTGGTGTTTGATTACGAACATGTTCCATGATATAATCGTGTTTTTTCATAGTAAATGCAATTATCTTACAGATTATACAACCATTATTGGTGTTATGCACTTCAAAAAGTATAATATTTATTTTTAATATATCTTTTTAATAAGAAACCGAAAAGTTTTGAAAAGATTTCTAATTCGGAACCCCAAAATCAGTTTTCTATATTTATATACTATCTATACATACGTTTAAGGCATCAAGGTGAATCCATTCCACCAAAGCGGAGGCCTCCAGATCCTCCGAAACCACGCTGTGCTTGATTTTGGACCAGCTCCAGGAGAGGGGACGCTTCACCAGGCTGTTGACCAGCCAGCCGCTCCAGGAATTCGCGGGATCGTGTTCGAATTCACTGCGGGATCGGATCTGTTTCCTTTGCTGTAGCTCGGATATCACGGTATCCAGGCAGGCGGGTAATTGGTCGCCCCGCATAAACTGGAGTTGCAGATCCCGGAGACTAAAGATGGGTCTGCCGCAAAACTTCAAGTACTTCGTGATCAGGTCTGTCCAGAATTTCATCTTTGCGTCGTAGTCCTCGGTGTCCAGGTGTCGCGACCGGAACATGGCGAACTGCACCTGCATCCTGGCGTTATCCTTCCAGCTAGGAGGAAAGCTGAACTGGTCCGATCCACTCTCCCTTTCCCCGCTTTCAAGGCTCATCCTTAAATTCTCGATATTCTCTGGGCTATAAAAATTGCGCGTCTTTTGTTTTTGTGTTTTGGCTATCAGCTGTTGTGTAAGTGCTGCAAAATGATTAAATAAGTAAACAAAATTCAAAAAAGCAGTTTTTTTTTTTTTTATTTTTTTTAGCCCTTGAATAGCTTAGATTAATATATTTATTAATTCCATTTACCAGATTAATTTTATAGTTATAATTTTTTTTTTTTTTTAATAAACAAAAAATAATTTTGACTAATTCGGCCTGCGTAATTATTAATAAGGTTAGGAAAACTATAAATATACTCTAGAATTTAATTTAAAATAAATAATACATCCTAAGTGGTCATGGATTTCTTGTAAAATAAGGTGACAACTCCCGTTTTCAACGATTCAACATATTGGGGAATCCCCGAATTGATTTATTTATTTTTAAATGTTTTTTTTTTTAATTATTCATTAACTTTGTTGTGCCTTAAATATATGTAAAAATTGTAATAGGAAAGCCAATATATATTAAAAATTAATTTAGATTTAAATAATTTAATATATAACGTTCGATGCTAAGGCGCTACCCAGCACTGCGCTTCTCGATAAATTGGATATCGATTGACGTGCCCCCCATCCCGAATCAGCTGTTCCAAATCAGGCTACTAGATTAAAAACTTCTGACGAAAATTTTGTTTTGAAGTTTTTGTTGAGTGTGCGTGGAATTCGAGACGGCTCGTCTTGGCTTTGGAAGCTAACACCATTCCAGAGGACCCCGGTAATGCAGGGAACACGGAGCTAAATTGGCCGACCAAGGATTCCCGCAGCATCGATGAGAGCAGCACATCCCAGCCCCTGAGTCACGTTCTTAGCCTCTCTCGCCACGGACCTTTAACCATCGACCATCGGAAGATCCATCAGATCAGCCCGCTTTCCCCGCCAAGATCTGGAAGAGCATCTCCGGAGCATCTCGAAGTGCGTGCGATACTGCAGAAAGTCCATTGTTATTCGGTGCACTGACTCCGTCCAATTGAGTCTGGCAAATCATCATGATGGAGGACGACCAGATTAACCTGCGCAATCAGTTGGCGAGGGGTAAGTCGTGATTTCGCAAAAATCTGCAAGATTGCATCTGCATCTAGCAAAGTCTAGTGAGCCATGAAGATTTCTTAATATGCAGAAATAAGAATTTAAGATTTGTCAACAACTATTTATTCATTGCTTAGAAACTTTCTAAGCCCAAACATTTCAAATGTTTATGTATTTCTTAGAAAGTAATCACATGATGCTCGAGATCCAAACAATCGTCTTTAAGATTCAGTGATGTTTATTTAGCGGGATATATTTACTTATGTAGTTAACTTTCTTAAAAGCGTAATCAGGTTTTTAAAAAACAAAACTTAAGGTTTAATTATATCTTGTTTTAACTCTAAAATAATTTAAAAAAATTTTTATTTTGTTTACTTAAAACTTGAAGAAAATATAGCAAACTAGTGTTTTTATAAATATTTTTTTTAATTGGTTTTGACCCACTACTATTACTTTGAACAGAGCTGTAAATTAAATTTAATTCTTTGGCTTACCCAGTAATAAGAATGGAATTTTTTAATAACCTGAATATCGTTGGTTCAGCAATTAGCTGATTATAATTTTCTGGTCTGCCACAGATATGGTATATATATAGATCATAATGATTATAATGCCATACCCTACTTATATCGGTAGGTCAGATTTTATGCTTAGTAAATACGTGAATGATAAGATTAGCTTGTAAATCAGAGTTAACACATGGAGCCAATTAAGTTATAATCGAAATCAGTGTCTGCATATGGAGAACGGCTAGTAGTTTTCCCCGAAACATATGTACGAATGATTAGGGCTTGTCTTACCATCTCAGCTCTCTTTGGCCCGAAGCTTTTTTGGGAGGTTTCTCCGATTGGAATTTGAACGGAATGGGGACGTTATCAGGGCTCTTATCACGCCCTCTGCGCCTGCAGAGAGAGTGTAGTGGCGCAAGTGCGTCCATGGATGGACAGATGATTGACTATGCATTCATGGCTAGGAATTTTACCAAGTTACCCGAGGTAAATGCAAACGGACGTAATGCCGATCCACAGACGTCGTAGGGTTCACACTGGGTCGCCTTGTCGCTGCTCTGGCTGTGTTTTAAATGTGTTTTCGTAATGATTAAGTTCGGTTCGGCTCACCGATGTCCGCTCATTAATACAGCCATACCATATGTACTCGGCACTCAGTTCGTCTGGAGCTTATACATATGCGAAAGCCGCAGCGCAGCCGCTGCCGCCGCTTCGGGCAGTAAAATTTCATTCAAACGCGTTTCACGTCTGTTTTCGAACGGTCAACAACGGATGGGATCGGATCGCGCGATCGCCAGTTGTCGCCACCGCCACAAAACTCACTCTTGGCGATTTAGAAACCCATGAACTGGGCAAACAAACATCTTCCCAATCCACTCCTCGCCTGTGATAAGTGCCCGCTGCTTCTCTCTACTGTGTGTCAGCGAAAAAACGCTGCAAAGAAATAATAAAATACAGAGCAAACAAAATGAAAGTCCCCACGCGCAACTCGAAATATTCATTCAATTTGAAAATATTCAAATTGCATAACGATAAGAAACCGACCAGCCCCAGTCCGCCAACCTCACCTGTGATCTCAGCGAAAAGAAACTCATGGCGCGCTTCGTGGCGTTCGGCCCTGGGTTCCAAGAGCAAGTCCATCGCAACGCCCTCCGATGACACAGATCAGCTTGAGTTGGAGGCGGAACCAGCGACTTTCGAGCGGACCAGGTGCCACAGCTACAGCTCCTGCTCCGCCTCCTCCTCCTCCTGCGCCGATCAACTGTTTCCCGCCATCCAGATTCCCCAAGGCGATGAGCTCATGTGTAAGTTGGCGAAATGTGTCTGAAGCACTTCAATATTCCCCTTAAAAATTAAAAAAAAAATTTTGAGGAACTTTTCCAAATACTTTTCCAAAGACTCAAACTGATCGGAAACTGATTAATACAAAAGATAAAATTGATATGTGCATATCATGTCATATCATTTTGAGATGACCAAAGATTACGGCTATCTTATTTTACAATATTTCTTAAAAAATACTAAATTTGGTATTTCAAAACAGTATTTTTATTACTTTTTGATATGATAAAATATCATGTTGATATGTTTGAATGATAAATTTGACATTAATCAAGTTTGTTGATATGAAAAAAGGTAGAAATGACCCACCTTCATATCGAATTTTTACAAAATGTTTAACAAATTTGTATAGTATTGCTATTTATGTTTTGTTTTGTCTTCTAAAAAATTAAAGATATAAATTCTTGAAATTCCACTAATAGGAAGTTTAAAAGTAAAAAATGTTCTTTATTAAACATTAAATGTTATAGTTCAACAAGTGTTTGGCTCATTCTTCAAAGCGAAAATATTTGTTTACCTTTGTGGGACCCTGGTATTATCGTCCATTGAACCCGTGGATATTTATAAATTCAGGTATGTGTCCTTGAGCCACAGATACAAAAAATCAAAAACTATTATAGACTTGTTGGAATGTTAAGTACATAAGGTAAAGATGAAAATCTCTTGAACTAAGATTATTAAAGTCTTTGAAGTGGATACATAAATAGAGTACACGTTAAATGACTGATTAGATAAACGCAGCGGGGGACCTCGGGAATGGCCAATCGACATGTGAAGATCGGGTGAATTTGGCGGAAACACTTAAAAGCCTCGTATGTTCGTGTAGTGTAATGGGTGGTGCCAGCTAAATGGTCAATTCCCTGGTCAAATCGGGCAATACCAGGCCACGATAAGCTGGATGATAAGGAAGGTGTGTTTACCCGCTCGCAGCGCACATGCGTTCATTTCGATTCGACTCCCCATTTCGCCAGTGTTCAGCTGTTTACGGCTAATATATTATCCGGCAGCCAGTCAGTCAGTTGGAGCCATCGACGTGTCGCACTTGCCCGTAGTTGTGACTGTTTCTGTGCCTCTGGCGACCGAGTGAAATGTTTCCGGTTTAGGCAATCTACATAGCATACAGGCGAAACTGTGCTCGTAATGAACCAAAAGTTATAGACACTCACACCTAAACGAATCGAAAGCTCCGTGGAATATACACCTCAAATACGCATTGCCCGGGTCTCTGTTCTGGGCGAAGTTGAATAAAAAATAAAACGCGTTTACCAGTGATTACACGCGAGTGTTATGTGTAGTGGATTCTATATATTCGAAGGGAATAAACTAGCAAGCCCCGTGGCTCCAAGGGTTACATCATGCCGGAGGCGTTACACTTTACATCGATCTTTGATCTCATCATCAAGAGCGGTGCGTTGCAAAGATTTATTAAAAATCAAGTCAATAGGTGCAGAAATAATTATAGATTGGCTTCCAATCGATTTCAATACAGACAATACAGTTTAGATAGATAAAATAAAATATAATTTTATAAAATATCCCAGAAATATTTAAATATAAAATTGGGGAATACATTTAAGCTGGTCTTTTTTATTTGAAGATATATATTTAGTTAAAATTGATAATGTGAATTTAATCCCATTAAATTCTTAACCACTTTCAATTGTAGGTATTTTTTGTCTTTGCAATATTTTTCTTAGCCTAATATAAAAATTGTTCACAATATCAAGTTATATGGTGGAAAGTTTATATGTTTTATAAATTACTTTGAGCTACGATTGATGAACAAAAATATTTGGCACGGTCTTCCAACTATTAGCCAATATCTACTGTATATGATAATACGATAATGTGAAGTACACGCGATTCAACAACCTCTAGCATACCTGTATTGTGACATAGTTTGGCGGCGATTTGATCTTGACACCATGAACATGAACCGCTTTCAAACATTTAGCAGCTTGAGGTTCGATTTCTTTTTGCTCTTGTAATGTTTTGAAACTTGTTGCTGTTGCTTTGCCATTGGATCTGTGTCACAAACTTCCCGAACATGTTTGTTTCGGACAGGTTTGATATTACAAGTCAATCAGATTTATAACTGGGTGTTGCAATACTATAAATGATTGTTAGCCCCCAGGAACTAATCAAAATTTGACAGTTCATATTGTAGTTTGTAATCCTGGGAGTTTGCAGGGCCCCCAAAAATTAGTTAGTGCCTGAAATGTGCCTCCAAAAGCGACCTTTCGGTTATGGCTATTATTATTTTGTAGGGGCAGGTACATAGGTCATGTTTATTTGGGGAATTATGGGTCTATTTTTATTGAAATAAATACACAACTAATAATTATTTCTATCATTTCTAGCAATGCCTTGGTTCGGCATGGACATCGGTGGAACCCTCACGAAGTTGGTCTACTTCGAGCCCAAGGATATAACGCCGGATGAGCAGGATCGCGAGGCTGGTATATTGCGAAATATACGAAGGTACCTGACCAAAAACTCGGCGTATGGCAAAACCGGACATCGAGATACGCACCTACAGGTGAGAAAGACGAGCCAACTTTAGAAATGTATACATTCCGCTGTGGAATGTGCGATTTTGTAACAAAGCGCTCTGACGCGGGCCATTAGCATCGGTATTATCATCTGAAATATTATCAATCGCAGCGCCCCGAGTCGCGATATTTGCGCCTCCAGTCAACAAGTCATCTTTGGCGGGTCGGAACGGGTCGCCTGGTGATTTAACACGGGGTTTTCGAGTGTGAGTGCCTCTGCTGTGACCTTCACTCTCGCACACACGCCTACACCGAAAACAAAAGTGCTCTACTTTATTAATACACCTAATCTTCACCTTAACGAACGGGAGAGAGTGCTTTTAGCAAATCTGTTTGTAATAACTACATCGGATTTTTTATTTATGCCTTTGATAATCTGTTTTTGTTTTCCGTGTACCACACGCTAATCTTGCACAAATAAGATTCCTTTGTTTACCTTTAAAGCCAAGTGAATCACTGTTAAGTTAATACGCGTTTGCTTTGTTTTGATTTCAGTAAGCGTTTAAATAGACTTAAAAATAAGCATCAAAGCGAAATATAGGCCATTCGAAGGGCTAAAATTAACTATTTCCAATAAGGGGTACATTTTTAGCAAGCCGCAGTTGCACAAAATGTATATATTTATTTATTTATATTCTAATTAGACTGTTGTTAATTCAATAGTCTAATCTAAAAACCGGGGTTGTTGCCCTAAACCGAAAATAAATAATTTATTCACAGACTGGGACAGAAAGTTCGACACTTCTTTTAAATATCTATGTCAATTTACAGCCACTCACTGTTGCTTGGTAGTTTAATTTGTTAATTTTGTACAAATTACCCTTGTACTTAGACTTTGGATACCTTAAATTAATGGCGAACGTGTATATTATATGCCGTTTATAGCCTAGGAACAGTTTGGAAAGCTTATGCGATGTGAACGTTGACTTTTGTACTTCCCATTTTTATTTGTAATGGGTACTGAAGTCTAATTTTCATATTTACCAAGCACATTTCTCTTTTCTGTGTGCGAAATTATATAATTTGGGGATCGGCACTCAAATTAAAAATAAAACTTGTTAGCTTTTAAAAGTAAAATTAATAAATAGGTAGATATTTTCTTTTAAGTGTTATAAAATAATTTTTTTACTGAATCCAGAATTAATTTATAAACATTTTAAATTAAATAATTTGCTTTATCTTTCAGATGGACAATGTGGAGATCCGTAAGAGGCGTGGCTCCTTGCATTTCATTCGCTTCCAGACCACCGACATGGGCAACTTCCTGTCGCTGGCCAAGCAGAAGGGCATGGCCGAGCTGGTGACCACGGTTTGCGCCACCGGTGGCGGAGCCTTCAAGTTCGAGCAGGACTTCCGCGACCAGGTCAACATGAAGCTGGCCAAATTCGACGAACTGGACACGCTCATCAAGGGCATCCTTTTCGCCGACCTGCACAATCGCACCGAGTGCTATTACTACGAAAACGCACGTGAGATTCTGTAAGTGGAGTAAGTGCTGGCTACCAGATTTAGAAGTTTCTAACGATTTTAATTTACCAAACGTTTTGCAGGAAAAGCGAGAAGCGGCAGTTCAACTTTTCGCAACCGTTCCCCTTTATTCTGGTGAACGTCGGATCCGGAGTCTCCATCCTGGCGGTCTACGGACCGGACAACTACAAGCGCATTTCGGGCACAAGGTAAGGCATCTTTGGAATATTATATTATTATTATTATAATTCCTTGTATTTTTCAGCTTGGGCGGCGGTACATTCCTCGGACTGTGTTGCTTGCTTACCGGCTGCACATCCTTCGAAGAGGCCATCCAACTGGCCACCAAGGGCGACAACAGGAAGGTGGACAAATTAGTTAAGGATATTTATGGCGGCGATTACAACCGCTTCGGTCTGCCCGGCGATTTGGTGGCATCCAGGTAGATAATTGGGAAATAAAAACTGTAGCAAACCAGTCACGAAACTAATTCCTTTTCCAGCTTTGGCCAGATGCACCTGAATGACAAACGTGTTTCGGTATCACGTGAGGATTTGGCCAACGCCACACTGGTAACCATAACGAACAATATTGGCTCCATAGCAAGGATGTGCGCGCTGAATGAGAAGATTGATAGGGTAAGATACCATTTAATTTGGAATATCTTTACTTATGCTTTAATCTCTTTTATTAAACCCCTTCAGGTCGTTTTCGTTGGCAACTTTCTGCGAGTGAATCCCATTTCCATGAAGCTGCTGGCGTACGCCATGGAGTTCTGGTCCAATGGCACAATGAAGGGTCTCTTCCTGGAGCACGAGGGATACTTTGGTGCGCTGGGTTGCCTGCTGCAATTCAACGGTGAGCTGGCAGCCGCCCTCAACGACGGAGTGGAGCAGCCAACTCACACAGCATCGGATGCCGGCGAGGGCGTTGGGTGTCCGGACGCCACGTCGCTCTCCTCGGCGGATGAGCCGCCGGAGAAGGCGCCCACAAGCAAACACTCCACTAGATAGTCGCCGTAACCGCAACATGTTCCTCCAAAGGGCCATCCGATTGTAGTGCATGTACAGTAGACCTAAGATCTATAAGGCAATGGCAATGACTTTGATCCTTCGCAGTTTATCTCCGTATTTATCGTAATTCTTTCTCGGCTTTAGTTGTAACTTGAGGACGCACAAATTGTAAATGCATGAAATTACTGAATGGATAAAGTGCCTGCAAGCAAGCAACGAATTTTGGCCGCACCACAATTTATGTCTTAATTTTCCTCCGCGTAACATTGTACTATATATGTTACTACCAAGCAATCTTCGTCAATTTCGGTAGTTTTTAGTTTCTTTTCTACAGTGATAGATGTTAGCTCACGGAAAAGTATTACAAATACTTGACAACTTGACGGAACCGCAATTGAAAAAGTCTCGCGCGCAACAAATAGTTCAAGAGCATGTATTGCATATACACCTAATTATATGCCCATGTCCTTCGACAATATTCATGCATACCTATAAGTTTTTACCTTAACGTTTGTGTGTACATGATTTAAGTGGATGTTTTAAAGTTTCTTTTTAGAATATAAGTTTGTGGTCATGTTATGATAGGATCCAATTTGTCGGCAGGTCAATAAAACTTGTTTTAAACAAAATGTTTTGGTTTTTAAAAACAAGAGTTAGGGATATGTCCTTTATAATTTAAATTTAGGGTGCCTAAAGCTGTCTTCAAATAGTTCCTTTTATAACCGAAGGTGTAATGACTTAATATGTGTTTAATACTAACTTTTTTCTAATTTGGCATGTCCTTATTCTAAAACTAGATACAATTGCTTCTTATAAATAATCAGAATATGCTTTACACAGTTTACACGGTTAATTTTGAAAGTATGTTTGGGGATCATATGATATTTTTGCATTATTTATTCATTAGTACATTAATGTTGCTGTAGTCCCTCCGAATTCCACGGTTCGACTTAAAGTCGAAGACCCGCAGGTTGTGATCGGTGGCCACAAACATATATTGGCTATCACAAGCTAGGCTGTAAACGGGCGAGAATCCCTTGTGTTCTCGCGTCCGACTCGGGAAGTATAGCTGTACATATTTCTTCATTCTTATATCGTAGAGATTGACCCGCGAATGTCTGTTGGTGCCCACCAAGACTCCATACAGTCCATCGTACTCCAGGGAGTAAAAGGAAGAGTCGAAGGGATCCTCCCAAATGGCCACATCGCGATCAATGCGTCGATCAAACATTCGAAACGTTGTGTCGAAGTTGGCCGTGAAAATAACCTGGTCATCTTTCAGTTTTAGGTCGTAAATGGACATTGTGCTCGAGTTGAAGACGATTTCTTCGCCACTGGGGAAAAAGGAAGTTTAATTGTTGGATGATAAGATATTCCAAAGAAATCCCTATTAGAGCCCTGCGTGAATCATTCAATTTTAGTTTTATCATGGTAGCCAATAAATTTCAATAATTCAATAATTCAATTCTATAATAATTCAATTCTGTGTGAAATAAATTCATTTTGAATTTTTCCAGATTTTTTTGTGCCTTCTTTTGAGAACAAAAAGTGGAAAATTTTTAACAAATCAATGTTAACGCTTAGTAAATAAAATTCAGGCAGATTTAATCACAAATGATGGCTCTTTCTTCTTCAAAAGAAATTGTCGTTTGAATTATTTCGGAATTCATGCCATTCATTCATTCAATTCTATTAAACTCAAAATTCTAATTAATTCAATCATATAAAACAAAGAATTCAAAATAATTCATTGAATTCATTCATACAGGGCTCTAATCCCTATGTGTAATATCTCCAAATAAAAAGGCATGTGAAGACCAAACGTTACCTTTCCACGTGGACACCTTTCAGAGCCCGTCGGGTTGCCTTATCCGAGTAGAGACCCCCATATAGCCACTGGCCATCGGAGCTCAGTTTCATGGATCTGAAGGCGTGCGGCAGATTCGTCACCATGTCGAAGTGTATCATCCCGAACTCCTCGGATCGCTGCCACAGTCTGCAGCAATTATCCGTGCTGGTGGCATACAGATCGTTGACAAAGTCCACGCAGTACAAATACTCGTTGGCCGGATGCATCCTTTGTTCCGTCAAACTTGGTTCATCCACATCGCAGTGGAAGCACGATCCGCACACCCTTCCCGCGAATATGGTGCTCTGCTTCTTGACGAAATCCGAGATGTCCGTCTGGGTGGACGTGGTGATCTCCTCCTCGTAGCGACGCTCCAGGGCGTCGTGGCTGGTGCGACGGTACTTGCGCAGGTAGCCGGCATGGGTAATGTACAGGTAGTCCGACTCCAGGCACAGTTTGGTGGGGAACATCTGGGCATGGTGGAAGTAGGGGCGCTCGAAGTAGGTGCCACTAACCCAGTTCCTGGACACCTCCAGCCGTTCATAGTTCTTCAGGCGTTTGCGGTTTCTAGGGGATTTTCAATAGTCCGTTATCTTTATTGTTTATTGTTTACCTAATCACTCCACTTACCTCTGCTCGATTCTTGGACTATTTCGGTGGCCACTGAGCAGCAAGTCGTAGGCGAGTGGATGGAAGTAGTGGGTGTCTATTATGTACTCCAGGGCCGCATCCGCCTTGCACAGGCACAGGAGATCCGCCTCCGAGCAGTAGTCAAAGATGCACAGCAGACAGTCGATGGTCAGATCCTTCAAACTCATCCGGAGCCCGTGCATTTTGGGCTATAACTTTGTGAATTTGGGTGGCATTCCGTCGATTTCTGAGCAAAACGCGATAATTTCCTATCGATTAATCCGTTTTCGTGCGCTTCTTTTCCAACACTTGAAAATTTCCGTTAAATTTGATGGGCCTTTAAAATAAATAAGCGGGTTTTCTTTATATTTTAGTCTACTGGCATTGTAGAAATCGACTGTTTTCATTCGCGAGAGTACTCTGATTAATCTAGCTGTTCACCAGACGCAGTGATATTATTCACGAGCTTTTACTACATGCGTCACTGTGGCAAAAAGTAACGTAATTTGACCTGAAATTGTGAAATTTGAAATACAGCTGCGTATTTTTTACAATTTCATATATATTTGAAAATCTAATAAAAACTAACAAATAATAACTTGTTAATAACTGCATTTGAAATATTACAGAGATGTTCTGGTCTAGCTATCGTTATCTCTTTCAAATATGACATTATTTGCTAACTAAATATTAAATACTGTTCGTCTTTGTTGGGTAATTTTTCTTATCTTTCGACATTTTGCAGTTTTTTGATTGTTTAAAATAATAAGTTAAAGTTAAGTTAAGTATTTCTGTCTTTTATCAAACATTTTAGAAACTTTAATAATTCAAAAATTGCTATACAGACTGTGATATATTTCTCAACATAAAAAGTAATTTAATCATTTCCGCCTCGTTTTTAAACCATAAAGCTTTTCATTTTTCTGTCTGAGCTTTGGGTTCTCTACGGTTAAAAATTTCCCCAGTGTGAAGGCAACACAAGAAAATACAATTCATGGAAATTGGTTAATGCAGGTATTTATTCATTTTGATTGTGGTGGAGGTTAACTTATCAAGGCTAGACTTCAGGGAACCACTACGATAAATGACACTACGGTAAATGAGTTTTTAATACAAACTTTGTATCTTTACAAAAGTATTTATGTAGCGCAGAAGGTTGATTTTAGAGAGATTCGCATCGATTGATGTAAGCCGACTGAAATTCCCCAAAATAAATAGACAGGAACTGCACATTTTGGGGACAGAAGTCTAAAATACACAATTTACGCACATATGTGCCATGCGTACGATCACGTACTCATACAATTGCAACAATTTAAAGTTATTTAGAACACTGTTTCCGCAATTAGGCACGAAACTGCCGAGATTTTTGCGCTAAATACCTTAACTGAGCATTTGATTGACTTGAAATAGCGCACATACTGTCTGATCTGTCTAGAAAGCATCTCGTATCTCGCTCGCAATTTATTTGCGGCCTTATAGATACTGCATAATGGTGCATAAAGTTTTACGACTCATGGAGTGATTCAAAAAATCCAGATAAAATGGTGGTTAGAAATAGCAATTTCATTACCCGTTGGGTACTCAAATAGGTAAACATAAGATTATCATATATTAGTAGACAATATTCACTTTATGCCAGATAAGGTAAACAAAGAAGTATACGGAAAATCTTGAGAATAGACACAAACTCATAACAAAGAAAAGTGTAACGGCTATTTTTGGGTCAGGGAAAGTAGCGTAGCTGTCACTGTTCAGCTCTTTTTTATGGTTGTCAACGCACTTAAAGTTTTAGAACCTTAAAAGTGAATTTGTAAGTGGGCTAGACTTTTATCTAGTACACCTTTGTACTTTCCATTTAGCATACATTTTCTGTATTATGACCCCGTTTTGGTGGTTCATCATCTGGCGAGTACAAAGAATTGTGACTTTCAGGTTAGTTAAGAATGCGAAATATTCTGGATCGTTCGTTCCGTTCTATAAGCCCCCTTAGAATCTTATCAAAGTGTTCATGACAATAGGTTTTACCCTTTGAAGTATGATATTAAAAATATCTCAGGACATCGAAGTACCCATCTTAAATTTTATCAAAATTTTTACAAAATATTGAAAATATCAATTTTAAATGAAATCTTTGAATTAGTTCCTTTAAATAGCATACTGGAATATTGAAAGATTAGGTTTATAAACATTAATCGATTTAAAATAATAAAATGAAGAAACGAATTATAAAAACAATACGTTTGTTTACAAATATTAAAGATATGCACATCAGTTCAGAATGGGTATTTTCCGGTCGGTTCTAGAGCAATCGCTCGTATCTAGGAAAAGTTCATGCGTGGCACTGAGCTCCAAAAATTGATAGTCACAATCTGAAGGTGACGTAGCCGTCAGCAGTTTTCGCGTTTTGCGCAGTTCTCGTTCTCCGTTCGGCAATTTCATAATCTGAACAAAGTGCTCAGCCACAGGTAAAATGCTCGAGCACACCGCACACCACACAGACCCAAAAATCGGGGGGCATACATGCGAAAGAGCCCGTCACGTCGGCACATCAGATGACAGTCGTGGGACCTCCGCATTCGCAGCTATTCACAATATTAGTTTATTGTTATTGTAGAGCAAAGTCACAAATATTTCCGTAGCCAAAGTCACGTTCGCCAAACTGATAACTCAAAGTCACTTGGTTGCATTATCAACTGGGGGAATCTACAGAGTAATTAGGAATCTCACAGCTGAGACTTACTATTATTCTGATTTTCCACTCTCAGAATTCTCTGGATTATTTGCAGTTTTAAAAGTCGTGAACAATTATCACCTTCAGAAAGCAAATAGATTAGACTCGAATAGCAAAATAGAATCGAGGGTTTGTTTTGATATTTTGGCCAAAATATTTATCTGATCCTAATCAAATGTTGAATGTTGTATTAGTAAACAAAGTGACGCATACAGAATCATTCCCCTGACTCATTGTTTTCATCTTTTGTTGCCTTTCAGTTCTGCTGAATTTATATAGAACATAACAGCAGATTATTTTATGTTGAACTGAAATGAGGCATACTTCTTGGATATGTAAATGATGAAATACCACAAATTAATTAATTCTATAGGTTTCCCATAACCCCTTAGAAAAAACACTACTTTTCGTATTCAGAATTATTCTTGGTGAGATCAAATTTCAATGTATTATTTTTTTTACGATTTTCACTTACAAGATTTTAATAGTAGACGAAGCGTAATACAGAAGTATTAAATAATAAATAACAATTTGCATTCGTTGCATTTTTTAACATGGAAACTAATGTGTTTTAGAGCCCAAAAACAAATCAGGGCGACTGTCCTTTGATAAGATCAACAGTTTGCAAAAAAATTAAAATGTTAAATGTATTGTACATAGGTAGGTTGTTTTTTAGGAAGAATCGGTTGCAGAGAGGAGGCTGCGGAGCGGCGCGATTCTTGAACGGACCGGGGCCGCAGCGCGATTGGAAGGCAGTGAGTTCTTGTGTGTCTAAAAGAGTGTCTAAGCGAGGCTTTAAGTCTTTGTTGGCAGTACCACCTGCAGGAAGACGACGTGGAACGCAGAGTCGGAGACGGCGCGACCAGGAGCGCAAAGGCCAGGATGTCCACAGTGTCATATCATCCGATATGTCCTCTATCCCGGCGGCTGATCAAAGCGCGCCAGCGTGTCCCAGAAAGCTGCCCGTGGGTGACTCCACGAGCCGTAATCAGCCCATGTCCACATCCGTATCGGGTTCGGGTTCCGTGGACAAGACATTCGTGTTCTGGGCCATCTGGAGAGTACTGCGGGTGTAATCCAGTGGCTCCACGCCAATGTCCTCGTACTCGTGCTTGTCGCCCAGCGGACACGGACCGACCTCATCCTCGTCGATCGCATCGGCGGCTGTGGCCTCGTCCTCCTCCTCCGCATCGCTCCAGTCGTCGGCCACCTCCACGTTGACGGGCAGGTACATGTGGAAGGGTCGCTGCTCCCGCAGCCATGGGGTCAGGAAAATGTGGCTGGCGGTCATGCGTTCCGTGAAATCCTTCCGCAGCAGCGACAGCAAAAGCCATCGCACCGACTTGGACAGCGTCATGGGAATCTGGACGTTGCCGTGACGGATCACGGTGATGAGGTTGCAGTTTGCCTTCTCGTAGAACGGATACTGGCCCACCAGCATCGTGTAGAGGATCACCCCCAAAGACCACATATCCGCCGGTTTGCCCTTGTACGTCGGCTGGGGGCAAAGGAGTTCCGGGGCGGTGTACAGCGGGCAGCCGATCTTGTCGCTCAGTGTATCGTCCTCGCCGTCGAGGATCATTGAGCCTTCCAGCGATTCGTACTGCAGTTTGGTTCTGTAATGGATAGAAGGAAAGAATTCAAATAAAATTGTGTCGTTTATTGAAAGTAAACAGGGGTTTATTTATTAAGGTAAAAGTTTACAGAAAATTGCATTTATAATTTTTTTTCATTTATAAAACTTTTAGTAATATTCCTTATAATATTAATAATAGAATATGAAAACGAAAAAATTCAAATACAATTGTGTCGTTTATTGGAATTAAACACGGGTTTATTTAATAAGGTAAAAGTTTACACAAAATTGCATTTCTAATTTTTTTTCATTTACAAAATTTATAAAAAATAGAAGCCTAGCCTTGTGTCGATTATTGAAATTAAATACGGGATTTTAAGGGATTTATTGAAGTTAAAGTTTACAGACAATTGCATTTAAAATTTCTTTTCATTTGTAAAATTGATCAAAAATAGAATGTCGTTTATTGAAATTTTAAGGTTAAGGTAAAGGTTTTTATTAAGGTAAAAGTTTACACAAAATTGCATTTCTAATTTTTTTTAATTTATAAAATTTATAAAAAATAGAAGCCCTGCCTTTATTCTGATCGCAACTATACCCGCACTTCAAGACCCAGCGCTACATCATGTGCAATCCCTGGGACTTGCATAACCCCCGATTTTGTGGGGCCATTAGCTAGCGCAATATCGAAGAGACTTGAATCGATCGGCCACGGCGTTTCAGTTGTCGTTGGCGTTGGCGTGTTGACAAGTCAAAAGGCGAATTGGCCGAGAGAGCCGAGTTAACTTGACTTGACTTGAATTGGTGACGAAAGCGCAGCTTGCGACCCCCGACACCCATGAGCGAGTGCCTCCGCCCCTGCACAGCCCCACTGCTCCACCACCCCCCCTCCATTGGGCCACTCCATTGACATTGGCCCACATTCGAATGCAAA